GTTGCAGCATCACATAGTCACATATTCATAATTGTTGACATTCCCTGCTGGCAAAATCAATGGGGAAGCCTGCAGGGAAGATCACAAGTTGCTTGGATAAGTCTTCCCCATCCATGCACCATTCGTGTACCCTCCCCATTCACAGCAGCCATTCCATTACCTGCCATGATCACCCTGCACCTCCCTGACCATCCATGTACCCCATTGTTTCCTCTCCCACTGGTCAGCAACCACTTATCTACTTGGCAGCCTGATTGTGAGACACCGAGGACTTGCAACTTCCTGCCTGTTTCCCCACTGATTTTGGTTGTTGGAAGCTAGCAGGAAGTTGTGATGAGGTACTCACTTAACAAGCCATGATCCACCTTCCTTGCTTAATGATGGCAATAAGTACTGCAGATACAATTACTTGGTATCATGTTTTAAAACTATTTGTTTAGCAAAAGAAATTCTGGTTCCAATTGCTGTTGTAACTCAAGGACTACCTGTTGCATATCAGCTTGAAGATGGGGAATATCTGACAGATGGTGATTTTGTCTTATTTGCACACTTTTCAAGGAGTCTAAATGATACTTTACTTTTTGTCAGTACAATATCAACTCTGCTTTCTTCTCATTTTTTTATCAGAAAAAAATGATTGTACAATGCACATGATTTTTACATTGGTAGTACTAGAAAACTTCAATTTAAAAATGCCCTTACTCCAGGCACATTACTTCAGGCAAACATAGGCATGATGGAAATGAGAATTCAATATATGTAATCATGTCTTAATCTGCAGAGGGTCAGACTGGGAAGAATTCAATTATGTAAAAAACAAAATCTTGCACACTAAGCTTTTAAAAAATGATAAATAAGGAAAAGACATAATAAAAATAGGAAATTTGTACTTTAAAATTAATGGGCTATTATGTTTAATACATTCATATTTCAAAATGACTTAGTATATATAATGACAGTTTGCTATTTGATCTTTTTAAAAAACATTTGGGATTGAAATAAGAATAAATTGCTTACATCCATCAGAAACTATATGTCTCACATTTTGTGATAAACATGCCCATTTGTTAAAAGCTGTGATCTCCAACATTTTTATATAACAATTTGTGATAATGTATTCTATCCACTTTCAATTCTGAAATTTTGGTCACAGAATTTTCTAAGCTTCACATAGGTCCTGGATTTTCCTTATTTATTACAATTCTTTATTGTATATGTTGGTAGAACCCACACGTAGCTTGGAAAATATTCCATGCCAAAAATATGTGGAATTCATAAAATCCAGGTTACAGTGAATGTATATTTTACATAATTGCTATATTAGGCAAATAAAGCATAAGGGTTTGATAAGAACAAGTGTGATTTGGGTATACCTTCTGTTAGACAAATTTTATTATTGCATTTCTTTTTTTTTCTTTTAAACCACCACTTTTATTAACTGATAGAAATAGTACAAATTTTCAATTCAGCTGTAATTTTATTATTGCATTTCTTTAGGATCAGGATATCTAATTTTCTTGTAAGTTTTATTGCAGGTATATTTGTAATGTAATTCTTTATCATTGCAAGCATCTTAGCATTTCATTCTGACTTAGATCTTAAACATATTTTCTTGGGAGCAAAAAGCTATTAATTTGGCGATGTTTGCTCCCAAGAAAGATGATATGCATAAAGTACCATAGTTAGATTTAGGACTTTTTACAAGAGCACTTGTTGTTTTTAATGCCTGAAAATAATGTCTACTTCCAAGTGAGCTAAATCCAACTAAAATATAATGAGTTTAATGGCACATTCCCCAATAAATGTACATAAAATGATGTAGAGTGGTATTCCCTTCTGAAAGCACCACTTTTTTGCAGATGATAGGACTGTAATTCACAAGGATTCATGGAATTACAGTTCCAACATATCTGGAGAATACCAGGTTGGAGAAAGTTACCTTAATGACATTAAAATATTATTAAAGAAACTGGTATAAAAATGAGCAAGCTATGCACATCAGTGGAATAATATGTCATTTGGTGAATGTTTCTGTATAGCAGTTGTGATACTATTTACAATACCCTTTTCCCTCAGTACTTAGCAAACAGACATTCATCTTCTTCTGTGAAAAATTAACCGCTAGACTCTAGACCAGGGGTGTCAAGCTCAAGGTGCTTAAATCCGCCCCGTGGGACCAGCCTGGAAATATCAAGGGACCGGCCTATGATGCCTCTGGAGGCTAAAACGCCCCTCACACCTCATTTTCACTTTCCACGGCCTCTAGCATTCTGCCGGCCAAAATTGGGCCCAAAACAGGTCAAAAAATGACTGAAAAATGGCTCAAAAATGGGCCACACGGCCCATTTTCGGCCGGCAGAGTATTGCAAGAGGCCATGGAAGGCAAAAACGAGGTGCTGGGGGGCCGCTTGCAGACCTTCCACCCCGTTTATCCGGCAGCGTGCTGCAGGAGGCATCCATCCTGCCCCCCACCCCGCCAGCCCTCAGAGGAGAACTACAATGCCAATCCAGCCCTCGAAGAAATCCAGTTTGACACCCCTGCTCTGTCTGGACGATGAAAATAAGTCAGCTTTCACTAGTTCTCCTATTAAAGAAGGTTGCTAATTAAAGCTTTTTAAATTTTATTTTATTTATTTTAGAAAATTTATATTGCTGCCTACTTACCCATGGTGACTCAAGGCAGTTTACACTAATATAAATATAAAAATATCATATAAAAATAAAAATGATAATAAAAGAAAATAATAAAATAATAAAAAATAATAAAATAATAGCCCCTCACCCACTCGCATCCTGGTGACATATTCATACAAGCCATTAATGGATTCCATCTTGCTCTGGGTTCCCCAGGCCCGCTAGCAGAACCAGGTCTTCAGCGCCTTCTGGAAGAGTGTTAGAGTGGAGACCAATCTAATCTCTGGGGGAGGTATGTTCCAGAAAGAGTGAGTCACCATGGAGAAGGCCCTTCTTCTGGGTCCTGCTAGATGTATCTCCCTAGGGCAAGAGTATCAAACTCAAGGCCTGCGACCCAGATCTGGCCTGCGGGGTGCTTAAATTTGGCCTGCGGGGCTGGTCTGGAAATAGTAAAGGACTGGCCTGTGGTGCTAGCAAAAATGGGTGTGTGGGGCGCATGCAGGGGCCCTGCATCCCATTTTGGCCAGCAAAGTGCTACAGGAGGCATCCGTCCCATATCCCCCCCACAGCCGGCTCACGGAGATCTAAAATGCTGATCCAGCCCTTGCAATTGTGTTTTCATTTATCTAATCTGCCATTTATCTAATTGAAGTGCAATTGTGTTCTCACACCTTACCACCCGTACTGCTTAACATTGGAGTTTCCAGCTCCAATCACCATTGGAAAGAAATATTGTAAATACATAGGCAGCAGCCAAGATGAAACTATATACAAACATCCGAAATCGAACATCAACAGAACCATCTCATGGACTCTCATGCTCAATGATAAAGTCACATTATCAAAGTTTTACGAAAGGCCAGCAGAGTTGGAGGTAGTCTTATCTCTGGGATGATTATGCTCCAAAGGGCAGACAGAAAAGGCTCTCTTCCTGGACCCCACCAGAGGGCACTCTGCAATGGAGAAGGCTCATAGCCTGCCTCTCCTGTGCTGGATCTGGTGGGATGATCACATACAACAGGGGGGAAACCTTTCTCAGATAATCCAGTCCCATGCCATAAAGGGCTTTGTACATTTTAAAAAAATTAGTAGCTAACAAAGTAAAGTGTAGCTTACATTTGATTGCCAATTTTTTATTTCAGTTGCTATTTTTTCAAATCCTCCTAATATATGTGCTATAGAGATTATAGATATGATGAAAATATTTGTCTTGTGGTGTACTCCACTCCATAGTCTGAAATATTTGAGTGATTTAATTGTAGAAAATAGAGATGATCCTAAAAGGAACGTAAATACCTTTCACTAACCAAAGTAAGATCATAATTTATAGAATATGATAAAGTTTCCTTTCTAATCTTTTCAACAATGTTTAGAATTATAATTATAATTATTATCTATCTACCTCTACACACACACACACACACACACACACAGAGTATACCAATAGAATTGCATATCTCTTTCAACAGAAAAGATTTGAATACTCCAGAAGTAATTTATTTGACATAACGGCAAGGTTTTTTATTTTAGGAAAGCTGCCTTACCACAGTAATTAATTTAAGCAACGGAGTACTCTGGAATATGCAAATTTGAATGTATACCTAATAAATTAAAACACAGCTAATTTTCCAAGCTCAAGGCAGCTTTCAATTATGCCTATTGTGGAAATGAAAAAATGGAAAAAGAATTTCTACTTGTTGCATATGGAAGGAACTGTAGGCAAAAGGGCTGTAATAGAAATAACTGCACTTTTAGGAATACAGTAAAAATAAAATGTGTAAAATAAACGAATTCATGTGGGACAGTGAAAACCCCACGCACTATAGCGCACCTTGTTACGATTACGTTCAATTAAATTGTATAGTATTTACTTCTATGTAACTTCTATGTACGGTATGTGGAAACTTCTAAAATGAGTTCGGAAGCTGCCCGGGAATTAAACCGTTTGTAATCGGGCTAATACATCTGAGCTGCAAAAATCAGGACAAAAAGATACAGGTTTTGTATCTCGTTGCTGCCAATCATCCGAATATTTGTGATAAATTGTAGGTAACACTAGGTAACACACGCAAAGGATTTTCCGGGGACGGGTTTATATACTGCGTCCTGGATAGCAATCAGAGATTTATTTTAAAGATCTTTCGAACTTGCGATCGTTATGCCTGTTACGCCAAGGTCGATAAAATTCAGAATTTCTCCTTTTTATTGTTGCACTTACATTCTAATAAATTTGCCCCGCAACTATCTAACATTTTCGTGCTTCGCTCTCCAGCAGGTTCCGCTCTTTGCTTTTCTTCTATGATGTCATATTAACGCTCTAGGAATGTCGGGAAATGTATTTTGTAGGCCGTGAGAACTACCAAAACGCATGCGCGGAAGCTAAGGAAGCCACCATTTTGGAAGGAGGCGATTTGAGGTTGTTTTGGGTTTGGGGTTTGCTTTGGCGGGGGTGCGTAGTATCCGTCCCCGCTTGACCTCCGGAATGTTTGGCGAGCGAGTAGCCGATTTGATTTGAGGTTAGTCTGCCGATGCGGATAAGAAAGTTTCTTTGGGAAGAGCGATGCTGAGGCAAGGGACCGCGAGGAAGCCTCTGAATTGCACAACCTGAGGGAGGAAGAACTGGGCTGGTGGGCAGATGCTTGTTTTCTGTGTGACGCGTGTTGACGGAGTGGATATACCCGCCCGCCTTAGCTAATCTGGCCCTCTTGGACTACAGCTCCCATTGCTCTTAGCTGTAAGGGCAGTCGCTTTGCCGCGGGGGATGGGACTTGTAGTCCAGAACCTAGGAGTGAGAGAAAGTGTAGGCAAGCCCTTCACTGGGGCCCTGCTTTTTGTATCTGAGTTGTCACTCGTCGCATGAGGAGGTGTAGGATTGACATGCCCGCCCAGTGATGTCGGGGCACCAGATGCATAAAAACAAGGGGAAGCATAGATGGCCTGGCCACAGCTGTCATGCGGGCAGATCATTTGGAAGGGGGCTGCCCTCCCAAAATCCGGATCATGAGTCTTAGGTAACACATGGGACCTTTAAGAAAAGGGCAAGGTCCCATGTGTTACCTAAGACTCATGATCTGTGTGTTTTTAAAACAAGCTCTAGCCGTTTTGTTGTTGTTTGGCCTCAATTTCTTCACAACTTCCCCCCCCCCCCCAAAGCAATTGAAAGTTAACATAGATAGCAAATGTGTGATAGTGTATACTGTCATTGAAATATAAAAAAGACACCTTGATGCCAAAGCACTTTGTAAACTGAAGAATATGTTTTACCTTTAGGCCCCTTTTCACAACCTCCTACTAATTTTACAATAACATTTTATTATTTAGAAAGTATATTTACATAGAAGAAAAATAGGTCGGCTACAATGGGTGTTTCCTCAGTTCAGCATGTTTAGCTTCAATCATTGCATGAGTGATGTGATCAAAACATGAAAAATATTTGATATAATGCTTTAAATATTTGTTATTGTTTTTAAGATGCCTCATGCTGCGTGTAAGTCAAGATATTTTGAAAATCAGGATGTCTCAGTAGTTGAGCCCTCTTCTAAAAGGATGAAATCTACAGAAGAGCCTTATGGTAAATCCTATGATGAATTACAAAGACTTCATGAGGAAATACATATAAAAAAAACTCATTCTGGCTTTATTCCATTGTCGCTATCTGATGAGGAGAAAAGAGAGAGAGAAAGAAATGCAGAAGTATTAAATTCATTTAACCAAGAACCTCCTGGTCAAAAGAATAAAGGGGAAATGGAACTGTACAGCACAAGCAAAGCATTTATTGGGCCCATTTATAAAAGGGAAAGTAATTGTGAACATAAACAAAAGCAAAAGTATATTGATAACAACTGCCCAAAGAGATCAAATACTATTAATGGTAAAAAGTCTCAGAAAGAAATAGTGCAAGCTATCTCCAGTGATACGCCAAAAATAGAAGATGAATTGTCACAGTTCTACAGGGAAATTGATCAGCTTGAAAGTAATGAAAGTTGTCCAGATACTCATTTACAGGAGACAGAAGCAAATTCACCTTATCCGCCTCTGAACTGTAGTAAATCAAATCAAGTAATGTATGTAAAATCTCAAGAATGGTCTCATGAGAGCAATGAGGAACAATATTTTTATAATGAATCAAATACTTATAGAACTGGCATAGACATTTGTAATGACCCAAATGGTCACAGAACTGGCATGGAACAACGTGAACATAGAAGAGATGCATGGGAAATCGAACAACCATGTAATAAACAAGATTTTAGATTCTGGAATGATTTTGTACCTCAGTTTAGGCATAGTGGCCCACAGACCCATCCATTTGTAATACCTTACAACCCACCACATCCATTTACTGCTCACTTCAATTTTCAGAACTCTAATTCCTTATCACTTTGTTCAGATGGCTTCAATTCTTCAAATACAGAATTTAAAAAAAATAACATGAACAGTTCAGAATGTGATCAAAGTAATCCATACAGTAATCACTTGAATATTCCTAGCATGAATATAATCAGAAATGAATGTAGTGTACCCAATGGATATATGTTTAGTGGTTTCGGTGAAACCCAAGCAAATTGGAAAAACAGTAAAGCTCACAATTTTGAGGAGTCAAATAATGTTCCCCAGCAGCATCCTCAGGACAAATCATATGAGTTTAAAAAGCGACTTTTAATATTAAGAGGACTTCCAGGCTCTGGAAAGACAACCTTATCTCAGTAAGTGAATCATGACTTTATTTTAAGAATAAAATAGAAGTAATTTATTTCATAGACTTCCTCTTTTATACTGCTGCTTCCTCTTAATCTTTCCCCCCTCTATTTCTTATTCCCTCTATCTCCAAATCGAAATCAGGACTTTTTCAGTGGTTGGCCAATGATCTTAAATTATTCATCAAAATGTACTCTTTAACTTATTGTTTAAGCTCAAATATCAACCCAAGTATTAACATTTTAGAAACAAAAACACCTTGTTTTAACTATTTGAAGATTGTGAACTAGACAATTTCAGATCAACTAGTTCTTCTGTATTTCTTTTTCTTTTTTGTTTAAAATGGAAAAAGTATATGAACAAATAGATGTGAAAAAATGTAAAAGATAAAGACTCTAGTTGCCCTTCAACAAAGCAAAATTTAAAGCTGTTGAAATTATACAAGGTTTTCAGATAACTGGGGTTAGTATTAGGCTTATATAACTTTTAACTTCTAGCTAAGAAAATGGGCCTTTGGACAAACAGTGACTGGATTCCACAAAAGGCCTTTCTGAATCTTACATGTAGATCATGTTTTCTTATTACTAGACTATATTTTAATTATTATTTCTTTCATTAATTAGAATATTCTGTAAAATTTAGGAAATAATTTGAATTAAGATAGTATAAATATGTTTTAATGTAATTAGCATACATTCTTTTAATGGTATGTTTTGGCAAGTAGGTCAAAGCGTTTTGTTGAAATATAGGTAACTGAGCTAGAACAAGTGGGATAGTTTCTAAAAGTGTTTTAGAAAGACCATTTTTGAGGACTTCTTAGAAATGTTTGTATTAATAATTTTTAGCTTAGTCTGCATGAGATATGTATTTACCTGAATTTAAACTATTAATGTACTTTGGCTATTTATTGGTTATCTTTATGCAGCCTAAATTTTTTAAAAAATATTGATGGATGGATAAAAGGATCCTTCTGAATAATGATGATTGGTAGATTTTAAAGTAATTTTGCTGATTTTTCTTAAAATCAATATAAATGATACCTTTTGGTTTAACAACAGAAAATAATTATTAGTATTCTTTGGGATAGTTTCTTTCCACATGAAATTGGAAGATAGATAAGACAGCATAAATATATAATCAAGTAATTAAGTTATCTGATATGGAATTGAATTAAATTCTTTCTAAAAATATCATTTATGAATGCATTATTCTTCAGGGAAAAATAGGTAGTAAAAAATTAGATTTGGGAACTGTCGTAGTCCTAAGATGTCTGTCAAAAATGTATTGGAAATGTTTTAGTATCTGTTTTTTTTTTTTTTGGCATAAAATTTCAGTATAAGATTTTCTGTTTTTCCAAACCATCATTTGGCTGTGTGATAATAGACTTCCTTTTTATTCCTTTGACAGTATTCTCCATGGTCAGAGTTATAATGGCATTGTATTCAGTACTGATGATTACTTCCATCAGATCAATGGATGTTGGAGCTATAATGTTTCTCAGCTTGGTACTGCTCATGAGTGGAATCAAAATCGAGGTGTGAAAATATGTTAATGTAGAAACATTTACAATGAAATATGCACTTAAATTGGTATTATAAATCTCCGAGAGTTTGTTACAGATTCATTGGTATGTGCAATAATATCCCCATAAACAGTAAGAAATTTGAATTTTTAGCATGGTTCCTTACTATTTTTCTCTTTTATGGGAAGTATTGGTAAATGGAACCTGTCTTGGGCCTATCTTTTCTATAAGTACAGACAAATCTAAAATGTTACGGGTAAAGGCAAACCAAGTTAAGCTTACTACTTTTTCCCTGAAGATTATACTTTTCAACACGATCTATAATTTTCTATATGAATAATCACTTGACCATTCATATATAAATGCAGATTTGGGGCATCTTTGGATATTAATGGGAAGGGTGAGGCAATGTAGACGATAACTATACAGAAGATATAACGGCTATCAAAACAGAATAGAATAGAATAGAAAATAGAATGGAATGGAATAGAATAGAATAGAATAGAATAGAATAGAATACCTTTATTGTCATTGCATTCCATTAATACAATGAAATTTGAAAGCTACTCCAGCACAGTGCCCCAAACACCACATCACAATCACACTACAGAGTATTTAAAAATTAAAATAATTATAATAATAATAGGACTAAATCACAAATGCACTGTTTGATTCAAGATAATTACTGCCTTGGAAAAGAAACTGTTTCTCAATCTATTAGTCCTCATTTTAAGACGCCTATAACGCCTCCCTGATGGTAACAGTTCGAAATATAATGTCCAGGATGAGAACGGTCTGTGAAGATTTTTAGTGCTCTAGACAGGAGTCTGGTCTCCGCAATCTCTTCAAAAGAGGAGAGCAACCAATGATTTTTTGTGCTGTGTTTATAACTCTCTGGAGCATCTTTTTATCCACTACAGAGCATCCAGCATACCACACCGTTACACAGTATGCCAAAATGCTCTCAATGGATGTTAGATCTTATTAAATTAGAAAATGTTTATATTAATTAATTAATTAATTAATTAATTAATTAATTATAGTCTTCAGAATTTAAGAAGAGCTAAATCAAGTCAGTGACTAGTCTAGTCTCTCATTCTGTGCCAGTGCATAATCAACCGGACATATTCAAACAAGAATAGGGAGATGATAGGTCTCTTCAACTTTTATTCTCTCAGGAGGTTTTCAAAAGATTAACTATTTTAGCTGCCATTTATCTAATTGAATTGTTATGTATTGCAGCAAAAGAAGCAATGGATCTAGGAAGATCCCCAATTATTATAGACAACACAAATACACAAGCTTGGGAAATGAAGCCTTATGTGAAAGCGGTAAATAAAGCAGCCACTTTTCTGTCTTAATATATAAATCTAATTTCTGTAAATGTATTGATCATTTTGTCATACATTTCATCATGTATTAACTATGTCTTATTAACTATATAAATCTCATAAAACAAAACTTTTACTGGAATAAAAATTATGTTAAATGTGCTGAAATTGAAGTACAATCTTATACATGCCTTCTTAAAATAAATCCTATTATATATAATAGGACTTATTTCCAATTTGGTATATACGTGCAGGATTGCAGACAAGATCAGAAAAAGTATTATTTGATGTTCCTTTTATAACTGTATTTCTTGTTTGCTTAGGCTCTAGAAAAAGGCTACCAGGTGGAATTTCATGAACCAGACACATGGTGGAAATTTAATCCTGAAGAACTAGAAAAGTAAGACTTAAATTATACTTCACTCATTTGAAAAAAAAATGTATGAAACTTCCCTTTAATACTTCACTCATTTCCATTATTGTCCTTACATATGCAACTTGAAACTTTTGAAATTTTTTGTATAAACTTGAAATTATCTTTGTCCCTGCTCCAAGGCTAATTTCTAGGCTTTGTGAAATAGAACCACATGGTGTGCTTTCCCTTGGATATTTTATTTTTAATTATGCTGATGCTTGTAATTAGTAAGATGGATGAGTTCAGTTACAGTGACAATGGTAGCAATGGATGCATTTTTGGAAGTTAGGATCACGGTAGAGAAAATTTGTCTATATGATTTCTAAGAGTCAACACCAACTTCTTGGTGTACAGTCATATAACTACAGTTCCCTTTTACGCTCGTAGAGTTTCATTCACAATCTCTTGCTATTCAGTTGTCCTGATCCACAAATTTCCTACGATTTGCAGGCTACATATAAGTCCTATCTGTGACCTGCCCCAGAGGTCCATTCAAGTACTATAAATCCAATATATCAGTTGTACCTTGTGCCAGGATACTTGGCAGCAGTTAAAGGAAATGAAGAAATATATCAGTGTAAAAATAAATAAGTAAATATGCCAAACTGTTCAAGAAACTATGTAGCAGCAGCTTCCAACAAAAAATACTAAGTTTATACCTCTCTTGATCTCTTCATTTTGTCTACTTAAAAAAAATCCTTGTTGGTACCTGCCTATTTGTTTTTAGGATACTTACAAATATGCAGAAATTGTGAGATTTTAATACATTTGTTTTAAATGAGAAACATCCACAATTAAACTATATATTTAAGACAGATAAAATGCTGCTACTTTTCTTGAACGTCTTTTACGCTCAAAATCACTGATCAATTGCTATTTTTCTACTTAAATATGTATTAGTCCTTGCAATTTTTTTTTGAAGAACATAAACTGAAGGCATTCTAGGTGGTATTCCAAGATGATCAGATTTTTATTTGTTTAAATTATTTTCTTTTATAGGAGGAATAAACATGGGGTCAGTCGTGAGAAGATTGTACAAATGCTGGAAAGATATGAATATCAAATCTCGATACCCATTGTCATGAATTCAGTGCTTCCTTTTCATAAAACTTCACAAAGACCATATTTACAAAGAAGACAGAGGTGGGGAGACTGTTCAGTCTCTTGGAATACTTTTAATACTTTTAAGCGAGGATGCATTTAAGGTCAATTTTCTTTATCAGTAATAACTTGCCATTTATACACAATTAGTAGAGTTAAATCTATTGAAAAGACTTAATTCCTTGTTGATCTGTTTTAAATATTCTGTTAATTTCTTTTGTGACTAAAATAGATTTAATGCAGATTAAATACCTTGGAATTATTTATAAAAATGTAAATGTTTAATATTAAAATGTAAAATACTTTCACATTTTATATTTGTACTAATCTTTATTTTATTGAAACTTGTGATAATTACTGATTTTTAGTGCAACTTTTTACTTATACCGCAAACTGCTGAGCAGTTTCTTTTTCTCAATAGAATACATGGATTTTTAATAAATAACAATAGGGTAACTTTTAATATCGGAATTACATTTGAACAATTCTTTTTTCTACTTTTAGTAGCATTTCAAATTCTGCATATTTATTGATAACAGTTATGTTATTATGAAGCTTATCAATCAAACATTGACATTCAGCTGAAGTTCTTATGTTTCCATTTTCTGATCTGTACAGAATTCTATCTGTGCAAGTTGTAAGTTGAAAAAATGGTAGCAAAATTCTGCAGTTAAAATCTGTGACTTTGAATATCAGCATGCAGCATGTGATTTGTATTCTTACAAATCAGTTCTCAAGAACTTTTTTTATCAAATCCTAAATCCACATTACTATGGTATGTTAAATGTTGTGCCTTTTGATATGGGTACTTAAATTTTCCTACAAAAGAATTAATGCATTCAAATATGTTGAAAAAGTGAAATGGACATTAGTTATACCATATTACATTTGTTTAGGATATGATATATACAATATCCACTTCATGATATTTTTGTGGCTGAATTCACAAAAAGTTTTTGTGCTAATGCCATGTAATAAATTGAATACCTCTTTTCTTTTTGCATGGTTTTGTACTACTGCTTCAGAAATCCAGTCTCAGTTGAATTGAGTATTTCACCAAGCTCCATTTCTGCATGAAACCTTTGGAAGTTAAAGAGTAGCATGTCCTGTAGAAAAAGTTCCTACAAGTTATTAAGAACTATTGGTAAAAATAATTTGGCTTTCATGACTAGATTTAAAAAAAAAAAAAGAACTTATGCAGGGCCTAATACCTATGCTCAGTGATGACATCTGAAAAAGTAAAGACATTTATTAAAGCAGAAGCCTGAAATATAATTTAAACGTACTCCTCCATAATATTTCTAGATAATCAAATTATTAATGGAAATATTCACTTCATCACTCGTGCCTACTAGGCTGACATGTTTATGAATCTACTGACTCAACATTACAAAAAACTTTTACTTATATTGTATGATTTTGTATGAAACCTTCAGCCTTCACCAGGATATCCACATGATGGAATAATGGTTCCATTATACTTTGCTCTTTGACAGTGAATTCAAATGTAGGGTAAGTAGATCATTCTACACCTACAGAACTCTTACGATAACTTCACCTATGAGCTCAAACTTCCAAATGTTCATCAAGGACCATGTTGGCTGGGAAGGGAAATGAAATCAACGCATCTCTAGGGCACCCAGGTTGATGAAAGTTACCTCATAATGTGGATGGAATATTTACTAGTCAGAATACTGTAGTTAAGTGATTTTTTTTTTCAACAGTCATTCAAAAACCCCAAATTTCTTTAACTACATGGCAATGTTATCTACTGAAGTGCAGTTTTGATCAATTATTTTTCTCTACAACTCTACTTTTTCTACATTTTTATTTATCATAAGTTTCTACAAACATACAAACATGACTTTCTGTTTCATGTGTTTCTTTTTCTTTTAAAACATAAGCACATAGAGGATTGAAGAATCATGCAGATGAGACTCGAAGTCCAGATTGAATTCTGGATATTTATTAATTTTTGTGTGTCCTAATCTTTAATGTATTGAAAAATATGCATGTAATTACTACTAAATAGAAATAATTAAAATATATTTTGGATAATGTACTGCTTAATTTGTTTGCTCCATTGCCATTTCCTTTAAGTAGAAGAGGTTCTTGTAAAAATTAAGTTCAGTAACTTTAATATATTAAACTTTGCATTTAACAGTGTGTGCTTATAACTATTAATCAGTGCATCAGTATTTTGCAAGTTAATAGTACATATTTTGTCATTAGTAATATGAGAATATTGCCTTTGTTCATCTCAGCATAATTATGTAGCTGATCATGATATGCAGAAACCTAGGGAGATAATATTGAGGCAAAGATTTGGGAATGATTACCTAAACAAAAAGGACAAAGGCATTCCTTAAGGCTAAAAAGGAGATAACATTAAGAAGAAACTTGGCTCCTTCCTGACTGACTGGGGAGCAAGGGGAGGAGAAACTCTTATCAAACTTGCAAGATTCTATTGCTATATAGTCTATCTCCATAAATGCAACTCTAGTATTACTGTGTTTTCTGATCTGGTCTACCACAAAAGCCTCATATGATATGGAGGTGGCTTTTCCTTTCAGCAGTAGACGTTATTTGTCCCCAATTCTGTACTTATTCCTTATAGCAGACAACGAGCACCATTTTTTCTACTTTTGTATTAATCATCATCTTGTTGCCACAAAAGTGAAAGCAAGGCAAGTTTTCACCTTTATGTCAGTTTGAACAAATTGGATTGTTGTGTATATGTATATATGTGTGTGTATACGTATGTACATATGGTAGTAAATAAAACAAACAAGTGATTGTAGATAATAAATAATTTATATAACAGTGATTAATATGTTCCCTATCAGGTAAGTATGATTTTTATTAACAGTGATTAATAATGCAGTCCTATACATGTTCATTCAGAACTAAATCCCATGGTAGTCATTAAGAGGAGGTTAATTTCTCTATAAATTACAATATAAATATTAGGTCTTAATATTGCCAATACCCACTATGTGTGATACAATGTTTTGGATTTTGAACAGAGAGAAAATGCAATTAACATATGTGGCAGAATAAAGTGCTAAGAACCACCCCTCTTCCTGCTACTAGGAAGATCATAAATAGAAAATGCTAGTTTTGAATTACTCCCTACACACAAATGCTAGATAAGGAAAAACAGTTCTAAATTTATTTTCAACCCATGCCCCACTGGGTCATCATTTCAGAGATACTTGCTTGCCTAAAGAGAAACGGAATGACCAAGGGAGGGAAAAATGTAGTGGGATCAGGAGTGACTTCCTGATGGCTTCCCCATTGAGTTTCGTTGAGGGAATCTGGCAGGAAGCATCAGAGATCTTTCCTTCCCTATCCTACCCTACCCAACAAGCAGGTAAGTGGCTGTAGTTTGGTGGGGGAGTGGGTGATTACAAGACAGAATGTTGAAAACAAGAGATCGTGTAACCACAGCGGCAGCCCAGCAGTGCAACAGCAACCAGTAGCACTAAGCAGCTACAACTTTTTAAAATTTCATTCCCTCAGCAGTCTTGGGTCCCAGATTTTGAACACAATCTGTAAATTAGTCCATTTGAAGTCTCTTGGTTCAAAAATTGTTGCACTATGATACACTGTTTCATCTAGTTTAAAGTCATGATAGACAATTTTAGTAATACATAAATTTTACCCTCTTCTGTTGTAAGTTTGGATCTCCTTGGTATATATTTTCATAAGACTGCAAATAGACTTGTGGGTTCTATTCATATGAAGGAGTGAACAGTTGATTAGAATCTTGATTTTGCTTTTCCCCAGAGAGACTGACTACACAGAGACAGAGACAGCCATAAATACTGTGTGTCTCATAGTTTAGTATATACTGTAGCTTTTAACAGTGCACAAGAATTTCTTACTGTGACAAATTTGCAATAAAAAATCTGACACAAAAAATCAAGTAGAGAAGGGAAATTGGGAATAAATACAGAATTTATATTTAATTGACTGAAGAAAAGAAGAACCATGCTAGATGAGACCTAATGCCAATCTGTCAACATTTCTGTTCCATAGTGTCCATGCATAAGTAGTTCAGTTACGGAATTCTTTATGAATGGATGCATAAATTAGCAAGTTGATGTCAGCTAACATATTTTATGTGCTTTGTCCTTCATTTAGGAATTATCCATAAACAATTTGAGAATAAGATGAGGTGAGGTCAAATAATATTAATAAAAATATTGTGCTAGAGGATGAAAATTATGACCACTCTTTCAGTTTTAAACCAACATCCTCCTAGTTATTATGTATCTTTTCAGGGCAAAATGTCATTTCAAAATGGCACACGAGTAAAATTATGGAATGAAATAAACAATGTAAATTAAGTTTTTTTTTTCTCCAGACAGAAATATACTTTGATGTAAATGATATTCTATGGATTTTAGTAGAACTTAAATATATGGATGAGTTTCATATTTCAGTTGAAAGCAGATTGAAGCAGTTTGGACTTTGATACCTATTTTAAAAATACCATCTTACACATAACATACTACAGGCATCTTGTAAGAGTTCCATAATGAAACTATAATCAGAGGATTTTTTCTTATGTCTTCTGTAACTAACTAGAAAAAAGTCATGAATTCTATATTACAACTTGAATACATCTTTTGTACTACTATTTTCTGGTTACAAATGCCTTCTCATGTAAGTGTGCGTGTGTGTGTGTGTATGTGTGTTTATGTGTAATGTTTCATGCTGGTGAACATATCATGCCAACACAACACCCTGGTCTATTTTTAAGTTTGATTATCAGTACATTCTGCTCTTATTATCTAAGATTTAAGTACAAAATATTTTCTGTGGAAATTTTGAACATTTAGAAAAATGTTATGAAGCTGTTGATGTGATGAAAGTTGGATCACTCCATAACTTTCTTGAGATGCTCCATGTGTTAGTCATTATGTGCATGTCTGCACTAAGAGCATTCTGAATAATTTGTTCATATTTAGTTCTTTATTCTATTTAGGGAACTGGTTGTAAAGAGGAAACACAGATTACACAAGATAAAACAAAAAAAGAAACAAAAGAAGAACAGAAAAATAAAAAATGCTGTTATTACATCAGTGGACATAAAATCAGATGGACACTTAATTCCAAATGATGGGGATTTATCACAAAGTGAGCAAGAAAATTCAGAAGACAATGGACAATCAGAATTAGTGATTGGCTATCCAGATGAAGCTAAAATTGATAGTGAGAATGGCTCAACGAAGTATAATCATGTACAGCTTTCTGAATTGCAAAAAAAGGAATTCCTTGATTCTGTTGTGGTAAATTCAGCGTCTTTAAAGAAGTCACTAAAAGCAGATATTACTGAAGATGTGTCACTGTCAATTACTCTAAATGAAAATATAGCTGGCCAATTATCCAACTGTCATTTATCGAATGGGATCAAAAGCATATCGCTTGCAGAAAGTGACAGTAACACTTTAGATTATTATCAAAATTCATTTCAACAATCAGATCAAAATGATGCAAGAAAAAATACTGTATTGACTGATAAAGAAAACAAAAATACATCTGCTGAAAACTTGGTCCAAAGAAACCAAATGTTAAGCAATGAAGAGGAAACTCTCCCACATCCACATGGAACTTCAGAAAGTAATGAAATGAATTCCTGGGCTTTCTTTTCCTTTGATTTGGTTGATGAACAATTTCAGATCAAGACAGAGAAAAATGAATCGTGTTTGACTTGGCCTGAGGATCTATCTAAAATCATGTTTGAGCAAAGACCAAAAAAGGTCAAAAGGCCTAAGAAGATGCTTTCAGATGCAACAACAGAAATAACTGATTATAATTCTAGTAAAGAATTGGTGAAAGAAAACAGTGTAAGACTCCTGCCTGAAAATAGTGATACAACAAATAGCCCTTTGTCATTGCTGATGGAAAATAAGATACGTGATAATGCTAGTGAATTTGTCAGAGAAAGTGGAAAGAAAGCCAGTTTCACAACTAATGGGCGTATATTAGCTTTATCAAAGAAAAAAGAGAAACATAAAAGGATCTTCAAATTGGCCCCAAACTTTGATTTACCATGGCATATTCCTCCTAAAAATAATCAGAAAGTGCTAAACAATATAGATACAGAGAAAGAAGACATTTCAAATGAAGAAATTATAGAAAAGAACAAACAATGCTGTGAACTTCAAGCATCCAATTACAATGCAGTAGTTGAATTTTCTGATTTTGATGTGGAACTTCCCTTACAGAATGGTTCCAAACAACTTGCAGAGGAATCTGTGACTATTCCAACAAAAGAATCTGATACTCCAATTCATGAACATACTTTTGTTTCCTGTAAAGCTCCCTCACCAAGTGAACAAGAATTGTTTGAATGTGATGAAACAATAGAAATTAAAGAAAAGAAAAAGATACCTCCAGATACTTCAACTACTCAGCCAGATATTTTGCATTCAATTAAACTAGTTACTGAATGCCTTACAAACACTATGGCTGAACCTTTTGAAGATATGGAAGTGATTAATGAACGTGAACAAAAAGTACATTCTCAGATCAAAGATGTTCAAGATTCCCCATATACAAAATCCAGTAATTGGGAGCTTCCTTTATCACTAAGATTTGTACTTCAACTCGTAGAACTTTTTGGTTCTCCAGGAGTTCCATTAGGTAATTATTAGCTAAAATAAAGTTGAGAAAAGTGTAGAATTTCATATAGTTGAATTTTAAAAAATTATTTAACAATTTAAACTTTAGCATGCAATTTAGTATTCATTGCCTTTTTATACAGAAGTTAATTTTATTGCTTGCTTTGGGGGTAAAAATGCCAGGTTCAAAAAACTGAAAATTCCATTTTGATGTTAATGATTAGTATATATCCTCATGAAGAATAACCTCATAAAAATCATGTGATTAATTTTAGATTTCAGGCTTGCCAATTTTCAATTTAAATTATTTTCTGTGTATGTAATTATTTTGCATGTTTCTTATCATGTCCAGTAAATGGGCACATCAGTTCCACATTTGCTGAAGCAATGCCATAGTTCTTTGTTTTCAAACATTTAGTTCAAGTGAGAATCTTGATATTTTAAAAATATTCCAGCCCTCGATGCCTTTTCTCTTTGAAAATGTTCTATAGATATGGCAGAACTATTCAAACTATGTTAGAAGTGTTTTGCTTATAGGAACAACGTCAACATTTTCACAATTTTGTTGATATTCCTTATTCTAGTCACAGTATTATTCAAATTGTCACCACAGTGACAACGAATTAATTTTGTCAGTTAGCAATGCTAGAACTTTTAAATGAGACTCTAGATTTTTTTCCATGTAGCTTTACAAAGAATACCACATAACACCTCTAGCTTATTAATCTTTTTATAATAACATGTAAACATATGGCCCATCTCATATCATGTTGCTACAACATATACACTGTGAAAATTAAGACATTGTGTTGAATGAATCTTTGGCTTCTACTTTAAAATTCAATTTACTACACCTGGATCAACTGCTCCTTGGCTGAGAGTGAAAACAACTACCTAGTGCTACCCCCGAGATGCCATCTTGCAGTTGCCTAACTCAACTTTCTTAATCCAGTGAGCAGCAACATTCAAAGTCACAGCTGAGTTCTAGTCTAGCTGCCATCCATTCCCTCTGACAATAATCCCCATTTTATCTTAAAAAACAGTTCCCAATAGTATTGATCATTTCATCCAAAGTGGAATGGCAATAGAAGAAACTGGTCTATAAAAGCAACTGAGCCAAAACCATGATCACCATTAATGCAACACTATTCTTGCTATTGAGGTGAATTGCAGTTGATTGCTCTTTCCAATCCTTTACTTTACATAAAAGGGCTCATAGAGCCTTAAAAACTAATTATCTCTGTCCAAAGGAAACTGCCAGAAGAACTCCAACTGTTTGTTTTAGAATGGAATATGCTGCCAAATTCCAAATGGTTCTGGTGGCTTCCAAAAAAATCTAAACATAAAAAAAATCTCACACACAGTTGGCTGGCTACTATTCCCATGAAGGAAAGCCCCATGAAGAATGCATCTTTTTTCACACTCTCCTTGCTTGAATCTATCAATAACTGCTTGTTAAATTTATATCTACCTTACTGATCCAAGTTGTCTTTCCCATATCCATTTAGATATTATGGTTCATAATTTTTCTGATTTTTTTCTTTAATTACACCTTCTCCTTACTGCACTATATCTGTTGCAGTAAATTTAGTATGTAATGATATGGTAAAGGACAAACCATAGTTCAAAGACTGGATTCAGACTGTTTTGAGTTGTTAAGTGAATCTGGCTTCCCCATTGACTTTGTTCATCAGAAGGTTGCAAAAGGTGGTCTCGAGACCTAGGGAAACTGCAACTGTCATAAATATGAACCAGTTGACAAGCATCTGAATTTTGATCACATGATCATGGGAAATGCTGCAAAGGTCATAACTATGAAAAACGGTCATAACATAAGTCACATTTTTCAGTGCCATTGTAACTTTGAACAGTCACTAAATGAACTCTTGTGAGTTGAGGACTATCTGTATTTCATATTTGACTGCTGCAATTATTGTATTTTTCACTCCATAACATGCACTTCCCTCCCCCCCAAAAAAGTGGGTGAAAAGGTCTGTGCATCTTATGGAGTGAGTATTGCGTCACAGACCATGAATTATATTACCTCAGGGATCCCCAACAGTGGACCGGTGCTGGTCCTTTGGTGAATAGCAGCCAGGCTGCAGTGGTGGGGTCCTTTTATGGTGCTGAACCCCATCTCATCTGTCTTTGTTATTGCCTGCCTCTTCTGTCTCTTTTCCGCAGTGCAGGAATCAGTGCAGAGCTGGCACATGAGAGGACACCTATCTCTGGTCCTCTCAGGCTCTGCCTCATATTTTTTTTCTTGTTTTCCTCCTCTAAACCTAGGTGTGTCTTATGGTCCTGTGCATTTTATGGAGCAAAAAATATGGTATATTGTAACAAATGTTTTTTTTTTTTTATCCTGGATTACATACCTTCCTTCATGCAGTTGTTCCAATACATCTAGTATATAAACTAATGACCAATTAAAAAATAAATCACTGCGTATTTCATTTTCATTGCTCCCAATATAATATCTCAAAAACTTTCTAGTTTTCATTTCATTCAGCACGAGATCCAATTTTAAGTTAATAAGCCTTAAGTAAAAAAGTGATATGTGCAAGTGTGAATCAAGCTTTAATAGCTCAGTTATCTTGTATATTCAACATATGCCATTAATTGTAGCATCATAATTAAATAACTAATGTGCTCTTAGGTTAGTACTACCTACAGTCAAATGATTGTCACACCTATTTTATGTAAACTTCAAACCTATGAGTAGATTAAAAACACTTTGTGTGATCTTGTTTTGTAGATAGTTTATTACCAGATGATTATGTAGTTCCTCTTGACTGGGCAATATCAAAGGAGATCTATCTACAGTGGAAGACATCTGTGGAGGTATGACCATTACTCCCCTGTATATTATGCAAAATAATTGATGGCTCTTAGTCATCTGTAAATTATACCTAGTAATTTATGCAATGATACACAGCAGTTATTAGACAATAGCAATAGCACTTAGACTTATATACCACTTCATACTGCTTTACAGCCTTCTGTAAGTGGTTTACAGAGTCAGCATATTGCCCCTAACAATCTGTGTCCTCAGTTTACTAACTTCAGAATGATGGAAGGTTGAGTCAACCTTCAGCTGGACAGGATCGATGGAATCAAACTCCTGGCAAAGTGAGCAAAGTTAGCCTGCAATACTGCATTCTAATCAGTGCGCCACCACAGCTCATGTCAAAATGGATGTGAAGTTCGAACAAGCATTGCTGTCAGGTGTTAAAGAACAGATTTTTTTTTCCTGTAGAAAAGAAATATAAGGTACATGTACCATTTCCCTTTATATTTTATTGCAGAAGAAACAGGAAAATAACCAATTGAAAGAGAATTCCTTGCTCGGTGAGTGACTTTTTAGTGACTTTTTAGCCTGATTTATAACCAGCAATTGGTCATAATACAACATTGTACTAAGGTTAAAGTGGCGATACTGTACCAATGTGTAGAGTCAGATAAGCAAGCAACCATAGATTCATACTGGGAACTGGGAACCCTGTCCTGCTCGTTCTGATGAAAGATTCTGACCAGTGCAGAAACAAAGAAACAAAGGCATGTAAAATCCTTACGCTGTTTTATACTGTCTCTTTATCTGTAGTTGCTGCAGCTGCTCTCCAGGATTCAAATAAGGATGGTCAAGAAAGAAAATCTTCAGAAATGCCTTTGGAAGAACCATCATTGCTCTGAAAAATTGTTTCAAGCTATATAATCCAAGCAATAATGCTAGCTACTCTGAGATTTTTATTTAAAAACAACCAACCTTTTTTTTTTTTTTGCAGAAAGGTAATTTCTTTCTATGATTTGATTCTGTTACCTCAAAGCTTTGACCTGTTCTGAATATGAAATTCATAAACCGGACCCTCATCAAGTGAACATGGCTGCTTCTGGTTTTGCTAGTCTTGATTGTTGAGGTGAACTTTGCATTGTAGAAGAAATGATGGGATAAAGAAAAAAGAAAAGGAATGGAATGGTTTGTTTTAGAATATTACCAAGATTAAAAAGTAGCTTACAAAGAGAAGATCAATATTATTACTGAGGCAATAGCAGGCTCATATATTTTTTTAAACCATAATTGCTGAAGATGTGTATTATTTATATTGATTACCCATAGTTGAGTGTGAAAATCCTCTAGCATCCTACCACTCTGTTAAAGAGGACCATTGTATTACTTTAGTTTTTGATTCCTCCATCCTATTTGTTCTCTGTAGGCTATTTCCAACCAAACTGTGCCACAACTTCCTTTACCAACACCAGTGTGCAATCTTTTCCACGCCAAGGGCACTTTTAACTTATCAGTGGCATAACAGAGGCTGAATGTGAAAAGTAGGTAGTATGAAAAAGAGTAGGTGAATCTGGGATTGAATCTAAATTGGATTAGTTTACATTTTATTGTAATTTAAATTAATTATATTCAGTTAATATTATTCCTGATGTATTTATTTTCCCTCTTCCATCCCATTTTAAAAATGCAGTTTTTTAAAACTACCTAAAACAAAATTTTAAATTGTCCAAAACTAGAGAGGTTTAAGCAGTCATACCACAAAGCTTCCAAGGACCATATGTGACGTGAGGACTGAAGTCCTGTACCTGTACAGCATAACAAAAGTGAAGTAATACTTAACTGTCTCCTGAATAAAAAGAACTGTTTCTACTATCTCCTTCAAATTTCTTTCTTCTGATTCTTGGTTTAACTCCTCATATTTATCCAAAATTTTGCTGAGATAATTGGTTATCTTTTTGATCCCAATATGTCCTACTTAGACAACTGCAACGGTAGTTAGTGTCCTTCAGGATCTTACACGGATGTCTTTCCTTACCTTCAAATTCCTCCATGACCATCCTTTTTATCTCTTTACTCATACAGGTAGTCCTCACTTAATGACTGGTCACTTCATGACCATTCAAATTTATGATACACCTCCCCCCCCATCAAACGGTACTAACAACCAGTCATCCCCAGTCACATGGTTGTATTTTTGCATTTGGCCCACATTTATGGCATCCCATGGCCATGTGACCACAGTCTATGAAGTTTTTGCCAGAAACGGGTGTTTACTTGCAGTTTCTGACAAAAAACACTCATTGTTGACACCACAAAAAAATGTCATAAAATCGGATTGGTCATGTGCTGGCCTTTTTAACAATTGGCACAACTTACTAATTCTGAACTCCATTGAGTTGAGGATCATCTGTATCTGGTTGCATCCCTATCCACTATCCTCCATTGTTAGGACCGTAAGATCCTTCTTTTGTTTTTTGTTATGCTGTATGTTTGGAACTTCTTGGAATATTGCCATGATAATATCTATTTTATTTTCTATTTCAGAACCAATCTTTTAATTAAACCCTAAATTGTCATGCAATACTCTCTAAACCTCAGCTTGTGACAGTGAAACAACCACATTTTTGTGAAACCTGTTTTCTTTGTGTTGAATTTTAAATTAAGTTCTTGCATAACTTTAAAATGTCTTAACACTATTTAAATATTTTATGATCAGAGCATAACATTTGGCTATAAGTTAAGTTCTTCTGTGCAAAGCAGATGCAAGAAAGATAATTATACAGAGGGAAAGGTTATTTAACAAAAGTACTATTATAATGTGGAGATATGCATTAATTAGTTAAAAATAGCTAAATTTTTGTTTGCAACTAAAACATAAAATTATAAACCTTAATAAAATGTGATGTCAATTTTATTTTATTTTATTGCAATTGTTAATATATGAATTATAGTTTGGGTAGATAAGATAGTTGTAAGACTTTAATACCTAGGTTTGATCTTTCACTATTTTTTCATTATTATTATATTACAGAATGTGCTTGCTTTTTGGCTTTTCTTTGGGTGGACTCAAATTAACAACCATCTAGAATAAAAGTAAACCACAAGAATCAGAAAAAGTACAAAGCATCAAACTTTTTGAATCCCTATCTAAGTCATCTGCTGCTTTTGAATTTCATTTTCAAATAAAATTGTGAAGAGTGATTGTCATTGTTAAAAGGACAAAGTGAAATAATGTGGCTTCAATTATTTAAGTCATGTATGTATGATACCCCTCCCCCCCAAAATTAAGGGATATATCATCATAGATTTGGAAAGGTCATGCCATCCTCCAGATGAGTCATACCTGGCCTAAGGTCTATCCAGCCTGTTCCTGAACATATCCAGTGTGAGGATTCCTCCCTATGAATTGCTGTGTAACTCTTCATATCATTAGAAAATTTCTGCTAACCTTTAACTGGAATCCATTTGCTGTTATAGTAAGACCATTATTTTATGTCCTGGAACAAGAAAACAAGCTATAATTGTCCTCTGTATCAGCGGTTGCCAACCGGTGGGCCGTGAGAAAATTTTGGTGGGCCACAGAGAAATCTCACCCCCAGAGCACCCCCCCCCCAAAGCAATTAATCCAGGCTGCGCAGAAACACAAGGCTGCTCAGCCCACATGGCCCGTGGGAACCCTCCCCGCCCACTCACTCCTTACCCGGCAAACTTGTCTGCTAAGTTGCTATTTTTCCTTTTTCTGACCATCATCTGTTCTGCTGTGCTGGGAGATTTAGATTAGCTAGGAAGCAGGAAATGGTTGGATTTCTTGCATTCTAGCTAAGCACAGCTGAACCTCCCTTAGGACTGAAGGTTTGCTTGCAAGCAAATTCAGTGCAGACTCACTACAAGCAAATTTGAGAGACTGAGCTAGCCGATGGCAGATAGATCACTCAATGATTCTGTGAGCAACTCAGTCTTCCTGCTTTGCCTGATTTTGGGTAAAAGTTGTTTTTTTATAAAAAATTCAATATTTATATAAATATTTATATTTACATACAAGCCATGCCCAGCCAGTCACATGACCACCAAGCCACACCCACAAATTAGGCCACGCCCACATAACCAGTTAGTGGTCCCTGGGATCTAAAATTATGAGTTTGGTGGTCCCTGAGGTCCAAAAGGTTGGCGACCCCTGCTCTGTATGACACTCCTTTGCTGCTAGAAGGCGGCTATCCTATGCCCTTTAATAGGCATTTCACGAAACTAAACAGACATGTCTTCATATACCTTTTTTTCTAATCCCAAGATTATCCTTATTGCTTTTCTTTCAATCTCTTTTGGTTTCTCTGTGGCCTTATTAAAATGTGGTATATGGAACTGGACACCATGCCAAAGGTAGGACAGAGCTGAATTATTTATTTCTGTTATTTCTAACTATATTTCCATTAATGTAGTATATGAGTATGAGAAGTGGTAAATTCCAACTCCTATAATAAAACATAAGACCTATGTACACAAATATGACTGCAACTTGATCGGCAGTTAGTTGTAGTTTGTTTTCAGGTTAAATAGTATGTAATATATAATGTATTTATTGTTCTGGTACAATGCAAGTACATAAAGAGATAACTGACTGACTTCATTATAAGAACAATGAATAGAACTGTTAAGGGAACAGAGAGAAGAGAGTGGGGGAGAAGGGGGAGAAGAGGAAGAAATAGTAGAAGTTGTAATAGTTAAATAATACTGGACAACCAGTAATATTTAACAACTGGAAAATAAAAATAAAATAACCAATATAGTATAGAAAAAATGAAAAAAATTGGCAAACTAAAAAATTCTAAAAATAAATGCAGAAAATTGTTGATGTGTCTGTTTAAAAATAACTTATATTCTGTTTATACATTGTAATTGTTTATAATCAATTAGTTCTCTTAATAAATGTGAAGCAAACTACAATAAACCCTACTTCTAAAATATTCTACCAAGAGCCAATATGAGAACATATAACTACTAACTAAAACTCTTACATTTATCATTTGGAAGTCGGATAGTAATATTTTAAATAATTTTTCATCTCTAAAATAGAAGAAATTACCAATTCTGAATAAATGAATATTATTTTGTTACAGCACCAACTACATTTGTATAACAAATATAACAAAATGTTTTAAATGTTCACTAGTCTTGAGTAATAAGAAAACCTTTATTTGTTTTTCCATCCACTCACTCAAACTAATCCAATTCCAAATATTTGATAGAGATAACTAAGCTCATCAATTGCAAAATAACCAGTGGATATTTTAAAATGTTGTATTTACATACTGTGTGTAACATTTTGGAGGTAAAAGACGAATTGATCGGCATGGGGAAAAATAAACTCTAGGATTAAACGACACAAACTGCATACAGATTAGCTGTGCAAATTGACATGTACAGAGAAACAATCCGGGTGACGTTTTGTACTAATTGCCAATAACACATTCAAAACTGGCATCGCTAAATTAAATTAGCTTATGATACCAGCAGCCGTCCGATGGCAGAGAATGTGACAATTGCACGCAATTGAGGCAAAATCGTTCAGCCAGTATGGCTATGCTCTTCGGGGGCTCCTTAACAGTTCAGCCAGTCTCCGGAGCGGGTCTTCACTCCCCAGAAAGAAAACTCTCTTCGCCACCTAATGGTTGCCCGGATTTCTGCTGCCAGAGCTGGCGGCTCCAACGTCCGCCTATCGGAGGCTGCAATCTTATCCAGACGCTTTGCCCAACCTATCGTAAGCCAACCGCTGCCTGGTTATTGCTTGGGGGGGAAGCGCCAAGCCCATTCAAGTGCGTGATCCCACAGATCGTGACTGAGCTGGCTTCGCGGGACCCCCCATCGGACTGGACTTTTTCCTGACAGATTGAGATCGGCCGAAGCAGGGCCCTCCTCAGCGTGGGATTTGACACGTTAGTTAGCCGGGAGCGACTCTAGTCTCCCGGCAAAAGGGCCAACGCGCCGGCCTTCCCTCCAAGGAGCCGTCCTCGGAGAGGGCCTTCCGACGCATCATTTTCGCTGTCGGCCGGCTCCTTTGGCTCGGCCCTCACTCTGCTCCGGAGAAACGAGGGCGGGGCGGGGCGGGGCGGCGCTGCCCATCTCAAGTCACGCGGCCGAAGGGCAGTGTAAACACCACCAGGTGACTCCGAAAGGCTCCACAGTCGCCTGAGATGAGGAAGCTGCAGCTGCGGCCGCCGTCTCGCCGCTATGGAAGATAGCCTGGTCCGCGCCTTCGGGGGCCTCAGCCTCCAGCAGCCCCGCCGCCCGCAAGGCAGGCCCCCAGCTCGCCGCTTCAGCAAAAGCCTCTATTTACTCCGCGGCCTGCCCGGCTCAGGCAAAAGTACTCTGGCCAGGTAAGCCTGTCCCAGCTGCAGCCCTTCGAGAGGTCGCGCCGGGTTCTGGGTCCGCTTGGGGCGGGGGGCGGAGGGGCGGAGGGGCGCCGGGCGACGCGGAAAGCAACTCTCGAGGGTCTCCAAGAGCTATTTGATCCCTGGGGTTGAAGACAGTGCAGGAAGCCCAGCCGAAGCCGCCTGGCTCCGGTTGATAACGAGGCAGGCGATTAAGTCGCCTGGCTGGGTGAGACAAGGAAGAAGCTGTTGTTCCGTTTTTTAGGCGTCCCTCCCCCCCCTCCTCTGGTGGACTGTATTATCTTAAACTTAAAGAAGCAACAATGCTGGGGGTGGGGAGGGCCATTAATGGTAGCCAGGAGAGAACTCGGAGCCAGTCAGGGAAAGCCGAGAAGAATAGGAAGAGTGGGTGATGGAAAGGAGGATACTTTGCCCTCCGACACCCGTGTCCCTTGTACTCTAACTCCACTTTAGGTCTACGCTACGGTGATAAACACCAACAGAAAGCCTAAATGTGACGAGGCGCTAGTAAACAGGAAGCAGCCGTAGCTAGGAGGGTCGATGAGAACGGCCGCCTTTTTTTTAGCTGAAATGTATGTGCCATCCATTCTTCAAACTCTAGAACTTATTTGGCAAAGTTGTCACTGCTGTGTCTGGGTTGCCCTAAGGCGGTGTGTGACTTTTCCCCAGACTATGCAACTATCGGAAGGGGCAATTCCCACTCACCTGTGTCTTTGTTAGAAATTACATCTGTTTTACCTGCTCTGGTTTGGAGACGTGATTGTGAGAATGCACTGTGAAAATGGAATGTTTATTCTTTCCATTTTATACAATACTTTAGTGCTGAGCCCAGTGAAATTCGTTAATATCTTTTCTGCATGTTATTTAAATTTTAGATTGGCAGCTGAATCCTCTCCCGGCTATTGTTTCTCTGCACCTAGCCACTACTTTATAACTGTCATAAATATTTTACACTGAATGCATACCAAAAGGTCACTGTTTGTATACAAGGAAGTGTACATTTTGTCATGCACTAATAATGCCTGTCAATTTCAGATAAGTGTTTGTTTATTTTTTTAATTCTGGAAAGTTCCATAATTGACACTTGGTTTTAATTCTTGTTTACTAAATTGAAGAAGCATAACAAGCAGCAGATTTAAAAGATGAGTAACAGAATTGTAATTTGAGGTTTATCTTAATACTGGCTCTATTTAAGTAAAAACAGTCCTCAAAAATTATTTTGCTTTACTTACCGAACAAAATCTATAATTTTAATAACAAAATAATGTTATAAACAAAACCATCAGCACATACCAAACTGATATTTCAGTATTATGCAAATATTCACAAATCAACCTAAATCAATTCAATCAAACATTTATTGTCAATGCACAATGTGTACAATGAAATTAAAAATTTCATTGATAGTATAATGCAATCCATATATATGTGATGATTTTAAATAAATAAAAGGGAGAAAAAAGTATGGAGAAAAAAATGCCTGGAAATGCATAGCATAAAAGTAACTCCATAAAATTTGACAAATTGAAAGTGCTGCTATTTTCCCCTTGACTGTATACTTGGCTGCTGCAGTTCAGGTGTACTAATCTTCAGGATTTGAATGAAAAAGGTCTGTGGTTCTGTTTAGCAATTATAAAGACAGAACAGGCCCTAAATTTAATTTTCATTTTCTATTCTATGCCAAAATGGAATGCATTTTGGAAGAGTATTACACAGAATCAAGGCATGTGGATAATTGAATGTAGGGATAAGTATTGGGGGCCTCTATCTCAAATCCCTAATGGAAAAGGGCATTGAAGAAAAGCCAAACCTTAATGCATCCTGAAAAGAAAGCTATGCAATCTTTATAAAACATGTACTACTAACTTAAGAAAGGAATTTTTATACAACAACAACCAAATAGCCAGGTTGTAATGTCCTGCCTCTCCAATCCTCTCAAGAAAAAAGTTTCAAACGGAAACTTTTATTGAAAGGTAATAGCAAGAGATCTAGGCAGGAATTAAGTTTCCTGCTTAAAAACAGTAAATCACCAAATGTAAAGATATTATGAGAAACCCAGGCTGAGAAGGTGATAAGGCAATGTTGCTGCTTTTCTCTAGAGACGAGATAAAGCACCTGGCTTGAGGCACATTCCCTCCCCCTCCCAAAGCCCCAAAAGTTAAAGCAAAGCAATGCAGGAAATAGAAACAGAAACTTGATAAAGAGCCCCTCCCAGGAGAATACTACTGTCCCTATAGAAATACAGAGCCTAGGTGGCGCAGTAGTTAGAATGCTGTACTGCAGGCCACTTCTGCTGACTTATCAGCTGCCTGCAATTTGGCAGTTCAAATCCCACCAGGCTCAAGGTTGACTCAGCCTTCCATCCTTCTGAGGTGGGTAAATGAGGACCCAGATTGTTGGGGGCAATATGCTGACTCTGTAAACCACTTAGAGAGGGCTGTAAAGCACTGTCAAGCGGTGTATAAGTCTAAGTACTATTGATATATATGGGACCTGACACAGGTATAGAATAGGTGGTACCTGGCTCAATAGCAGTAATCTCAGAGTTCTAGTGGACAACTACTTAAGAACCAGCAATGTGCTGCAGCTGCCAAAAAAACCAACACAGCCCTAGACTGCATCAACAGAGGGATAGTATAAAGATAATGTGAAGTGTTAGTACTATTTTATACTGCTTTGGTAAGACCACACTTGGAATACTGTGTCCAGTTTTGGTCACCATGACAGAAAAAAGATTTTGAGACTTGAGTGCAAAGAACAGAAAACGGGGGCTAAAACATAAGAAGAAGAATTGCATGAATTGGGTACATCTAGTTTAAAGAAAAGGACTCGGGGTGATATGATAGCAGTGTTCCAGGATTCACACAGAAGAGGGGTTCAACGTATTCTCCAAAGTACATGAGGGTAGGGACAAGAAGTAATGGATGGAAACATATCAAGGGGAGTACCAACATAGAACTGAGGAGAAATTCCCTGACACTGAGGATAATGAATCAGTGAAACAGCTTGCCCCAAGAAGTTGTGGGTGCTCCCTCACTGGAGGTTTTTAAAAAGAGATTGGACAGCCATTGGCCTGGAATGGTATCCTGTCTCCTACTTGATCAAAAGATTGGACTAGACTAGAAGACCTCCAAATCCTTTCTAAGCCTGTTAAATAAATGTTACTGTGATGGGTTCTTGTCAAGCAAGACATCTAGCTGAATTTATGGGACTAATCAAGATTAAATTTGAATTTCAATTCAAATTTAGATTCAATCAGATTATTGAGTTGAACTTTTTTGGGAGGAGATAATTGTCCCTGACTATCTCCCTTTAAAATTGCAAATAGTAATCTCCTACCCATGGACTAACTTAGCTTTTTTGATATCATCCAAGGTCAGTGCTTTATCTGCTGTGTCATAGATGAAGACATACCAGTCTTGCAAGACCCTTTAAATAGGATAAAATTTCAACTGGCATTGTATCCTTCAAATAGAGTGAATCATGCCTCAGAAATCCAGCAGAATCAGCATCCTGACCTGGGTGTACTAAACCATTGTTTAAGAATCATTTATTAACTATACCGCAGTTATCTGGGTTTGCAAATATATGCCCAGAATAGATAACACTTTAACTTAGCATACTCAACCGATATGTGTTGGTATTCCTAATACTGTCTATGTGGGGCTATTACTTTCATCTCCCCAAGTAGATTTTCATGCTGATTATTTATTTGTTCTAGTATTATGACTTAGGAATTGTGAGAAATCAGTCTTCCAACTTGATGCTTCTCAGAAGTGTTCGATCTCAATTCTGCTTCTGGATAGACTTGTAAAGATTACATTGCACAGCTTTTTCAACTTGTAGAAAGGAATTGCATATGGAGTTTAATTCTTTTGAATGTACATTTGTCCTGAAATAAAAGACCATCTGCTTTTGTCAGCTTAGTTTGCAAATGCTTTGTTCGGGTATTTTCCCACGTTATTATAGTTGTGCTTTTAAAGTCGTAGCAACGTTTGGGCAGAATCTCATCTGCCATCATCAGGCTTGTGTATTGTGTTTGTCTGTGAGTCAGGCTTTCACAGCCGTTTCTGTTTTTATTTATATTTATATTTATATTATTTATATTTATATTTATATTTATATTTATTTATACACACACACACACACACACACACACACACACACACACACAAACATCTCCTGTGTACTGAGTTTCAGTAGAGTAGAATAGAATAGAATTTTTTTTATTGGCCAAGTGTGATTGGACACACTTGGTTGCTTGATATGCGAAGGAAGTTACTTCTTTTGTTTAATTTGGAACTCCTCCTGCTCAGAGATAGCCTGCTGACTATTTTATGAACAAAAATCAGTGATAAGGACTACTTTTAAAATACTGAGTATTTTAGATCATAATCATCCAAGTTAAGAAGTTATTTTTACTCTTATTGTGCACAGGACAAATAAAAACACGGTGATTCAGAAATTTATTTATGAATCAAATACACTGTATACCTCAGCATAATCCCAAGGACTCTCGGTGCCTCACAAAAATGAATACACATCATAACAATATAGAAACATAAGATGATTAAAACACCCAAATAATTCATGGCATCGGGACTGAAAAATTCCATCTTCACCTTTTTCCAGAATGAAACCACTTGAATGATTTTCACAATTTTTACAGTAATAATCAGGCAGCAAATTGGATGACCTCTGATAGCAACATGAAAACTTTGGGGAGAGGCGTTTTAGATTTTACACCTGCTATTAATGTAGCTGTAGTAAATTATAAAAATTCATTTGTTTGCTCAAGTAATTGAAAAAGTATTGCATTTGACAGTTGCACCAAATGGCATTTTCAAAGTGGTGGCACACATTTTTCTCTTGTGACATCATGTTGGATCCAGTGATGATAACCAGTCAGCACTTTGTTCTTTTTTGTTTGCTTGTCAGGCAACTGAAACATGAATTTCCTAATGCAGTCATTTTTAGTACTGACGAGTATTTCATCACAGAAGATGGCACCTATGAGTTTAATCCTGATTGTTTGGGAGACGCACATATGTGGAACCAGGAAAGAGGCACGTATGACTGGTTCTCCTTAACGTTCTTCTTTATCTGCTCTATCAAAGTGGCTTTCTAAACGTTGAGTAGAATAATCACATACTAGAATTAAGAACAGAATAAGCCTAATTCTGAAGTGAAAGTTGATATGCTTACTGTTTAAAGACTGTCTGCTATGGAAGTTAAAGACTACATTGCATTATGATGTTCGGCATTGCTCTGAGAAATCATTCCCACTGCCAATTCTATGATAACTTCCAAATGGCTTCTAGGAGGATATTGAAAAATGGATAGAAGTAGATGAAAAGTAACATGGACCTCTCCCCTTTCCCAAACATTTTGATAAATTGTAGGACAGAAATGGCCATCTGGAAACATGAGCCTAGAAGAGAGGCAAAAAATATACCAGGGTTTGAAGTGTTATCTGGGTCTAAAGATCTGTTTTGAACTTAATTTTTTTAGTTCATTCCATTTCTATTTTGACTACCAATATACATTATCTTTGCACTATTTTCTTTTCAATATAATGCAGTTAATTCGGGTACTTTACAGTTAACAATACAAACATTTCCTGCTACATCCTGGGAAACAACTGTGATCTGTATGGAGTCAAGCAGCTTCTTAGACCTATTTTTGCAGTACCACTGATCTAGATTGCATTGAAATCTAGATTCCACGTGTTGAAATGAAAAAAAAACATGCAAAAAGATGTAACATATTATTTTGGCATCATAAACTCTTACCTGATCAAAAATTGTCTAATACATGCTACAAAAAAGACTGCCTATCTCTGTGTTGTACCCTAAAAACGAAGCTTGCCAAAACAGGAAGTAGTTGGTTTTTTTTATCAGCAATCAATGTACTTTCTGATTTTAAATGCAGGGACAGTGATTTTCTAGCTTAGAACTTGTGGGGTAAGATTGGTTACGAAATTAGCAAGAAGCATCCGAAGACCAAGCAGGAGCTGATTGAATCCATTATTGCAGCCTGGCACCACATTGTCATCAAAGATCACGTGCAAAGGCTTATACAGTCTATGCCGAAGTGATGCTGCCTGGTGATAAGCAATAAGGGCTGACCAATTTAATATTAGTAACCATGTTTGGTTACCTAAACGGTCCTTTTCAGGGTCACAAACAATAAAAATGTTAACAAAACACTAGCATCGGCCTTAGTGATTGCAACACGTATGCCACTGGGTATGCATCAGTTAATCTGTTTTCATAGTCATTGTAAGCATGCATTGTAAGCATGTAAGAAAATTCACAATCCCCATCCAAACAGCACCAAATTGCAAAAAGCTTATGCTTTTCACTTAAAAAACACCAGTATTTGCACAGCAGTTAGCACAAAATATCATAAAATCAATGGCCTATCCAAAAGAATGTCGTAAAGTGTACAGGACTATTTCACACAGTTCTATCTACACACACACACACACATACACACACACGGCATATGGGAAATAAGCTGAAAATATAATGCTAAAAAATATGAAAGGAATAAAACCCTGCTTCTTGAAAGTCCTTTACTAATTATATCTCATACTTATTTGTAATGTAAATAACCAATATTTCTGTTGCAGTCAATCCCCCAAACAGGTTCTCCTAGCTTAGTGATTTGCAACTGTGCCACAGGCCCTGGAAATCTAAAGTTCTTTTATTATCTGAAGGATTTAATATAATTATCTAGATAAATGATAACTAATTTCACTTACTAAAACCTTATTGTATTACAGCACGTAAAGCTATGAAGAAAGGGAAATCCCCAATTATAATTGATAATACCAACATCCATGCTTGGGAAATGAAGCCATATGCGATAATGGTATGTAATACTGTGACTTCTTTGTAATTCTTAATAAGGGCGGGCTCAAAAGAAACCTGTAACCTTATAGTTATCAAATTAGGGAGGAAATTTTCAAGAATCTGTAATGTCTGTAATGTTTTCAAATACCATTTTCCTCTCCTTGAATTCTTGTTCAACTCTTTGTCCAAATCTTTGAACTGCATTCTCCAACTTGGCAATATTGCAACTATAATACATTGGATGGGATTTATGGGCATCTGGCAGGTAATAGATCTTTACACTATCCAATATAAATCAAGCCTCTCTTTTTTAGGTTACATTTAGCTAGTTTTCTTAAAATTGAGAATGTTCTAGGGAATCATGCACAGTTTTAAAGGAATGTCGCTTTATGGAGACATTGAAAGCATAGTTCCAGCTTGTGGAATATTTGTTTCTAGGTCAGTATAAACCTTGCAATCAATGCAATCACTTTTTAAATTCAAATATGAAATTACCTTATATTGAGCCAAATCATTAGCTTATCAGATACTTTCTGATTGGTAGCTGTTCTTTTAAAATACAGATCTTTCTGGCATTCTAAGCTCTTTTAACTGAGATACCAAGGACTTTGTAGAGGCAAAAGTATGTCCTTTTGATAGTGCTACAGACCATCTTTCAGTTTACAGCAGATTGTAAGAAATACTATGCTTTCCTTCTGTTGCATTACCATTGGTGCTAACTTAGCATTCAAATAATTTGAGTGAAATACCAGTTGAAGGTGCTTAAGGACATTTAGCAAGCATAGTCTAAGCTCCTTTTAGTCTTGCATTTCACTCAATGGCCAACCAGATGCCTTCCAGTATTCCTTTGCAATTGGTACCTGACCTCAATGGATTTATAAATTTCCTTTTCAAATTAATAGCCATCACTGTGTTTTGTGGTGATGAATTCTTAATTATTTTGTGTAAAGAAGTACTTCTTTTTGTCCGTTTAGTGATATTGGTGACTTAAAAAATAGATGCTGCCTGGCACACCAATTAAATAGAATCTGTGCCCCTCTTAGTAATAAAAATTGCTTATGAATGTAATTCTCAAAAAATCTGCTAATTCAAATTTCCACTCATTTTTTTAAATATAGTTTTGACAGCACGTACAGTATCAACAGGTAACTGTTTCAATATTCTTAGCTCACAACCGTCTGTTTTGAGAGCACTTTACAGATTACTGCATGTCTAACCAGTTTTGCTTCTTAAGAAGCGATATTTTAAAGTCCTTGAGATAACTAATAGCAATGTTGGATTTTTTGTTTGCTGTCTTAAAATACATTGATGATGAAAAGTCATATAATTAATGGTAAGTAATTAGAAAAATCATACTGAAATTTACAGGAAGGAAACATTAGGAAAAGCATGAATAGTATAGTCATGCTTGAATAATTCTGAGAAATAGAATAAATAATAAATGTGTGTGGGTTACAAAACATATTTTGCTTATACTTCCAACAAAACAATCCTTTGTTTGGCAGAATATAATTTGTTGTATTTTAATAAAATATTTCAAGTATTCTAGTCATTGAAAACAATGGAAACTTTCCTTGTTTTTCATCCCAGGAATACAAGGTTAGATGGGATGCTACTCAAAAAGGAAAATCCAACCTACAAAAGAATTGGGCAGATTATTTTATTGTTCTTTTCAAAACGTTGAAAGTAAGGCTCTTAGGCAGCCATGGAAAGAATTATTCCTTGTAGTTATTTTTTATATAGCTTACCACTCTACTACTAAGCAAGTTAAAGCAAAAAAGGATCTTTTAAAAGTCAGTCTTCCATTCAGGTTGCTTTTTGCTGGACCTCTATCTGCAGTGTTACGTTGCTGCAAAAAATGCTATTGCTTAACTCTTGCATGAACAGTAATATTTATTTATTTTTTATTTATTTATTTGATTTGCCAATTGTTTACAAGATAATAAGTATAAATGTATACATAGTTGTGAATACATGAAATGGGTACATATAAGAAAAATAAAATAAGAGAAACAATAGGACAGGGACGGTAGGCACGTTGGTGCGCTTATGCACGCCCCCTACAGGCCTCTTAGGAAAGGGGTGAGGTCAATAGTAGACAGTCTAAGGTTAAAGTTTTTGGGGTTTGGGGAAGAAACTACAGAGTCGGGTAGAGTATTCCAGACATTGACCACTCTATTGCTGAAGTCGTATTTCCTGCAATCAAGTTAAATAAACAGTTAAAACTTAATGTATCCTGAAGCTTAACTCATTTCAGTCTCACTCAAAAGAATGCACAGAATATCCATATCCATTGAAGTATATCCAAAATATACACCAGAATTCTCACTGGCATTCATAGTGATCTCTGTATTTACAGCCTAAGTTCCCAGCAACATTAGAAGTCAATCAGCTGTAGTGTGCCTTCTCCTGCAGCACAGTTTGCCCTGGGTCTGCAATCCTGAATGATGTGCTTAGGTAACAGCAGGCTGGCCTGCCTAATGTCAATCCATCAAAGCCAATAGCAGTAGGTATGACTAGATTAGTAAATCTGCCGACTTTACTAGCCTGGAAATGCCCATTTCATTTAGAATTTAGTACTCTCTAAGTGATTATTTCATGGATAGTCCTTTCAGGAAGTGCTGGTTGAAGAAATTCAACTTGAATTAATCATTCAAGAAAAAGAAATAGGGGGCTTTTCTGTATGCTCTGGATTCATGCCAAATAAATTGTCATTTTAGGCGTTCATAAAATGTGGGAAGGGTACCACCACTCTTTTTTTTGATAGTTAAAATTTGGATAGTGAAGATTAACATGCTTGAGAAGCAAGTGCAACCTACTTAACCAGGTCCGATGTTGCTATATGGGCTACATTCACATAACATGTTATTTTTAACTTTAATTTTTGGTGACAATGTGTGGCATGCAGTTTATTAATCGGTGTATTGGGTTTATTCAGTAATCAGGTTAAATGTGTTGTGCATCTCAAACCTTTGATGTTTTTTTCTCCCTCATGGTAGAGAAAAATATGGAAAAACACTGCTTAATAATTAAAACATGATTTTTTAAAATTGTAACATAATTATTTGTTTTTCTTTAATCAGGCGCTTGAAAACAGATATAAAGTTATATTTCGGGAGCCAGATACACGTTGGAAGTTCCATGTTCGGGAATTAGCTAGGTACATTTTACAACCAAATTTAGAAAAACCAGTCAACCATTGTTGTAATCACTGATTGATTTGAATCCTGATTTTGGCAAGAGGCTTGTCCTGAGAAACAGTATGTAGGAAAGTTGGCTTCTACTAGTCTAGTTGGAGATCATAATCATCCTGTTTATGTATTGTAGTAGTGTAGTTTCTTGTAGTGACCTTGAAACTACAATGAAGACATTGCCATGTAGGTACTATATCTCATGAGTCAGAAATGGAGTTTATATCCCATTTTAAACATACTTTTCAGTGTTTGAAAATATATTGTAAATAGAGCAATCTGCAACTAGCAAACATTTGCTGTATGCAGCAATAATTAAAAACATGGGATTTGAAAAATAAGAAATCTGGGAAAAACTAAATGTTATTTTTAAATTAATAATTATTTGGCATGATTTCTGAAGAAGTATGATCTTGTTAATGTTAATTTCTATGTTAATCTAAAAGTGAGAAAGTTAGGAGCAAAAGCTTCAATTGAGAAAGCATGAATTTTATTTCTTCTGGGTCAAAAGTTATCTCACACAAAGCAACATCGGGAACATTATATTCATAGATTTGGAAGGGACTATTTAGGCCACTGAGTTCAACCCTGTGCTCAGGGCAGGAATCTAAATTAAAACATTACAATCTGATGGTTCCTATCTGGTGAAGCAAATCACATCACTTCTCTTGGCAATTGGTTCCATTGCTGAACAATTCTTATTACCCAGAATGTTTGAGTAAAATTAATCTGAAATTGCCTTTGTATAATTTAAACCTATTGTTTATCTTCTTATCCTATAAAAGAACGAAAATGTTTTTTTCCTGTAACATGTTTTTATTTGGGGTTCTTTCCTATAGCCAATCATCATTGATATGTTTTTTTTACTAGAATAACAAAAATATTCTGAAAACTCATGTTAAAGTTCATTCAGATAGTTTGATAACTTTCTTCCTTTCTTCAGTAGATCAACTTTGGATGTGCTTATAATGAACATACCGTGTTTCTCATATAATAAGGCCGGGTCTTATTTTTTTTTTAGCCCCCCCAAAACGGCTAGGTCGTCTTTTGGGGGATGGATTTTCTTTCTCTCCCCCCCCCGTGCACCCTCGCCTAGGGTGCCCCACCAGCAGCTATGCCTCGCCACCAGCCACTCCTAACGGCCAATATGGTGGAGCGTGGAGGGCTCCCTTACCCCCACCAAGCGCTGAAGACCCGGGTCAGTGGGCGGGCGGGGATGTCTGCCGGCAGCGTTTCAGCCGCTTCTCAGGCCTCTGTAGCTTCCACGGTTCCCACCGGTGCTGGCGCCTCTCTCGCCAGCGCCGTCTCCAACAACAGTGTCTAAGTCGCTCCTGCTTTCCCCCCGTGCCCGTAACAACAGGAAAGAAACATTTTGAGGTACCTGGGAGCGCCGCACGCTGCGTTTTGGTTTATTCCCGAGCAGCTGGGTGGGCATGAGAAGAGCCGAGCGAGTGTCTCTGCTGCTGCTACCCTTGGTGCTCCAGCCTCGGGCTCTGCAAGTTTACAAAAATCCCGGTGCACAGCCCGTTCCTGCATTCCAAGCGCCCAGGCCAAGCTGCAGCTGTCCCTCTTTCACCAGCGCTGTCTCCAATATCAACAGCAGCAGCGGCGGGAACCGTGGAAGTTACGGAGGCAGCTCCCCCACCCGAGAAGTGGCTGAAATGCTTCCACGGCGATGCCATCCGCCTGCTGACCCGGGTCTGCAGCAAAGGCGCTTGGTGGGGGTGAGAGCCCTCCATGCTCCACAATGATTGGCTGTTAGGAGCGGCTGATGGTGAGGCGTAGCTGCCCGTGGGGCACTCCTAATGGCAAGTTCCCCCCTGCCTTCCCCCCAATTTCGCATGCTTTAAACTAGGCCTAAATTTGGGGGGAGGGGCTTAATTTCATTTTATGCCTAGAAAACATGCTGGGTCTTCCTATTGGGGGGCATATTGTTGGAGAAACACGGTATTAAATTGCCTAGAGGCTTGTTGTGACAACTGGCCCTTTTCCTTACCTCTAGTCCAAGGGTGTCAAACTAGTGGCCTGTGGGCCGGATGCACCGCGCACAGGCCACACCCACCCCAGCTCTGCAAAGGGGAAAAACATTGTGAAATGTCACGAGATGACAACATGACGCGGCAAGTTTGACATCTGTGCTCTAGTCAGTATCCCATAGTTACTAAAAATACAATTCAGTCTTCAACTTGGAGCCTTTTTCTTCTGTGATTCTGGGAATTACTTTGCTGAAAAGGACCCTTCCCCAGTTTGATCGCATAGGTGTTGGATGTAGTTGAGTTCAGTATTAGAGGGAGGGAGTCTATTGATCTATTGAGTATATAATCATATTTCAACCATACCCATATATGCATTTAATGGACTAATTCCTGACTGTACATATAGGAAATTTGCCTTCTGAATCTATATCAGGTTCTAGATTTTTTTTTTTTCAAAACCACATACAAGAAAAATTAATGCATGGATCAGGGGCAATTAATATTCTCATGCTTTCTTTGATATATTTTTACATTTATTTTATAGACGTAATCATCATGGTGTTCCATTTGAGAAAATACGATGGATGAAAGATGAATATGAGCATAATGTTACCTTCCATACAGTGCTTCATTCTGAAGAACCAGCCAGATACTGCAATTCTGGACGTTATTCTCGTCCGAATTCAGCTTTTTCGAACAACAGAATGAATAGGTCATGAAATTGAAGGATTTTAATGGGAGACCTAGTGGGAGATTTTAGTGGGATTTTATAGATTTTTATCAATTTGTATATTGTTTTAGATTATTAGCAATTTTCTATTTTTCTATTGAACGAAAGTAGGTTTTAACTCATTTAAATTTGATGTTCCATAATTCTTGCAGATTTTAAAGAAAATTATAGAAGAAATGATTTAAACAATCATAATCTTATTGTTGCTTTTTCACATTTTTAGTTTATTCTTTTCTGCAACCATTTTCATACTAGGCTTTGTATTCACCCAAAAAATTACAGGGTGGCACCTATTTAGGTTTACATATGTCAGCCAAATACCATGTTGACTGTTGGCATTAAAATGCTAATTATGATATATGAGATATTTTCATACATTAAGAAAAGCAATTCTGTGGTAGCAGCAGCCATAAATGTGTTTGATTTTTTCACTCAGGCTAAAAATAGGACTCTAATCCAATGGCAAACCTTTTCTATTTATGCCTTTACCACTATCCAGTGTATCAAAAGCCTGAGCCTTCAAGAGAACCAGAACCAACCAAAATGTTATGAATGGGTGTGGGTGAAGCTTTTGAGCTGTAGGATAAGTAAACCTGAAGCTGCTCCCCAAACCAGTATAGATTTGTGAAATCCTCAGAATGATCTTGTTTCTTAAGCCCTATGGTTTCTGTGTTTCAGATTCTCTGTTTTTAAAATGTGTATCCACAGTATGTAGGTTTTTTTTTTCAAATTTTAATTTTCTCTTTAAAAAATCCTATTCAGTGTGTTGTTCAAAGAAATGAGGTGCTTCATTAGATTCCTATTTTTGAATTCCTAGTTCTGGTGGGTTTTATACGATCTAGTAGTAACTTGCTATCATAAAACAGGACAAAGAAAAAGCAATTTTTTATTTTACTCTACAAAAATGATAATTTTGTAGAATTTGGTCTTTATGAAACAAGCAAGATGCACGTCAACTTTCCTATTAAGTAATAAACTTAGATGAGTCAAGAAACCATAAATGTTAAAAACTAGACACTGACTAAAACCAAAATATTAAAATTATTACAGTTGGTATTGACTGAAATAAGATTTTTCTTCTGAAAAGTTTAAAGACCTTTTTACTTTAATAGCAAAAACTGGATTATTTTCTCTTGATCTGGTTTCTATATGTTCTTTAAAAATTAGAACTTTATTTTTAAAAAAATGTTCATTGTATTTTAGGGAGACTAATCTAGCAATAGGCTCCATTTTAAGCACCCCAAGACCAATGAAATTTGTGAAGCATATCAAACAATTAAGATATAATTAAATTTGCCAGGAATTCAACATATTGTTTGCAATGCATTTAACTCTTATCATGGATATTATATACTTTTATTACGAAATTTGGCTACTTTATACAAACAAAAATATATACAGATAATGATCATTGTAGTCATACTTGAAAACTGCTTACTGTAATAGTTTTCTACTGGTGTATAAAGATAGATTAGTGTTCAGGGACATATTTGTCATTATGATTTAGAGATCACTGTAATAATACTATAGTATCTTTTTGCAGAACTCAGTTTCTGGCAACAAGAATTTATATTTATTTCCCTAGTGTTAGTGGAAGGATCCCTGAAAATATTTTTGAAATAAGTTATAGATCAGGTGATATTCTCATTTGTAAATATTAAAGGATGAGGGATCGTTTTTTTCCTTCCTCTTTACGGAAAAGATAATTTGATCCTATTTTAATATTCAAATTTGATAAAACAACACAGGCCTGTTCATAAAATTTTGGGCACTAGTCCCTTTAACAACTTCTGATTCATATAACACTTTAGAATAGCCACTTATAGAACATCTTTAGGAAAGGAAAATAAGAAAAATCCTTTTGTGCAACCCTTTTATGTATTCTTCTATTAAGCCTTGTTCAAAAGTTAACTTTGAATATAAGATGCATTGAATATTTGGAAAACTTTAAATTTGAAATAAAAATTTGAAACTCGTAACTTCTGAGAATGTACCTGTGGCTTACATATCAGGAATTTGCAAGTTATTCTTACTGAAGTGTCTTAAAATGCTTGTTTTGAGTTAAAATGTGTAATAAACAAATCTAAGCAAATATTTACAATGTTCAGAGTTTTAAAAGACAATTCACACATTAAATACAAACTATGTTAACCTCTATTTGCCTCTGTAACATTTCCTACACAATAATGAACTGTTAGTTCTGTTTTCCTTTGTAGGAATTAATTTTCTTTGGCATTACCCTGATGCATTTTTATTATTACTAGGCTGGACAGAGTAATCAGCCTGTAAAAAAAACTGCATCATGTGCTGGATATCACACGTGTGATGTCACCCATAGATATAATTCCTTGCTCTTCTGAAAAATTATTTAAAAGGGCTTGGGTATTTATCATTGCAAGTTCCTCATCAGCAACAAAATTGCTTTCAGGAGCAAAATCAGTCCCATTTAACTTTAGCAGCAGGTGTTTGTTATTCTTACTTTCAGTTTTTTTAATTATTTTGCTCTGGGCACCAGTGCTTCGAGGGGGCTGAAATGCTTTTTTTAGAGATGGTGAAATAAATGCACAGATTGGCTTCACGGACGGAGGGGAAGGGACTTGACTGAGCAGATCCATTGCCTTTCGTTTCTTACAGTTCTTTGGAGTTTCTTGAAAACCTGGTGTCACTTTTGCAGATCCAAGAAAAAAGGATGGTCTTATGTCTGACTTTCCAATGGTCAAAGGACTTTGATGTCTTAGTTCACTGTTGGGAACTGTAATCTAAAAAAAACAACAAAATTTTAATTGTTGCTACTTTTACTCACTAAGAACATTTGAACTAAATAATGCCTTTCTCTTTAGATATGTATGCTTTTAAAATAACTTCTTTCAAAGCAATCTTAGGAAATGATCAGAAGACAGCAATCCTGGCCTTAGAATTCTCAGCAGTGACTATATAGGATTACAAAATGCCCTAAAATATTTTAATTGACATTCTTGATAGGAAATCCAATGAACGTAGAATAACTTACTTTTGAACAGCATTTATAAAATTGTTCTTTTGATAAACTTACTGCTTGTTTATTTCCTGCATCAGATTTCCAGGGAAGATCCAAGCCACATATTTTAGATAAATTACGTAACTGCAAGGGATCTGATTTTAGCAAATTAATGACTTTGTATTGTGCATCTTTGCTAAAGCAGCCATCGTTCTACAAGACAAAAACAATATTTTTGCATTGTAACTATTAAATTATTTAATTCTATATGGCTATCCAACTTGACATACAACTCTGGGGAGTGAACAGCAACTTAAAAACCAAACAAAAACTGAAATAACACATATTTTAGGTGTAGTATCAATACATGTTTTCTGAAATTATTTGAAGTATGCAACTAATACCTTATTTTTGAATGTCAGGAGTTGCCAAAAGAACATATTTGGATTTTTTAAATAATGAAATATATACAGGTAGTCCTCACTTAATGGCAATTGGGACTGGAATTTCAGTTGCTAAATGCTGCAGCTTTAAAGCATCACAGAATGCAACCTCATTGCTTAGTGACACAATTTCCAGCATTTAGAGTTGCTATTAATCACATCAATATGGTCTTTTAAGTGAGGACCTCACATGGTCACCATTTCCGAACTCCTTTTGGCTTTCCCATATTTTTTACTTGTGAAAAACTGACAAAGTGGTTGCAATTGGTGTTCAGTTGACTGTGGGACACTGCAACACTGATATTGTGGGCATCAAGCACCTAGATATGACCACAAGTACACTACAACCAACAAATACAATGATCAGTCGTAACTACCACTTGTTCAGCACTGTCATAAGTTGAAACAGTTGCTGAACAAATGGTTGTTAAACGAGGACTATCTGCAGGACTGCAGCATTTCGATTCGTGTTCACAAAGGGGAATGTGGAAGGTTGTTGAAAAAAATTGATGTAGACACTGACTCAATTGTGGAATGCTATTGTTTTAATCTGCATCACAAAAAAGTAATGTGTCCACTGCATGTACTTAACTGCTCTTTAGAAATAAGTAACTTTACCTCAATGGTATTTTTAAATTCTTTGAATATTTCTTGGAGATGGTTTTCTTTTGGGTTTGAAGAAAATGCAGAAAGCTCTCCAGCAAATAGGGTGGGAATATCTGATTTGAACTCAGGTCGCCACTGAAGATTGGTTGCAGAGATCAATACAGATGGAATGATTATATCTTCAATAGCAAGCTGCTTGAGATCTGTACAAATCTGGATTGCTATTATATTATGATGTTCATCTGACAAATATACCAATGTAGAAAAACCTATGTAAAAATGAAACATACAACTTGGGCTTAATATTAAATTTTACATATTGGCCATGTTGAAGTTCAAAATGAAAAATTCCTCTATTCCCAGCTACCACCGATATAAAATTATAGTCTATTTGCAGTAGGAATGCAAGGGAAAAAAGAGTGATCAACAAGTCCTGTGATGCCTTCCCTTTCCCCTATACTGCATTCTGCCATCACTACCCAGTAATCCTACTGACCTGCCCTCTAACTCAGCTGTTCATTAAGGATAACCCAGTTCATTTAAGAATGGACCGAAGAAGCAAATTGTTTCTGCTTTGTTACTCCCCAAATCCATCAAATTAGTATTTTTTAATTTCTACAAAATTGAAAGGTCAGTAGCACAATTCCCGCTAAAGAAAAGCGAATACAATTTAAACAATTGTGAAAAGCAATATAATAATGAACACCAGATATCTAGAAAGTAACCCCATTCTTTTTTATGCATAACACTACTGTGGCTTAAATTTTCAGCTGTTATGAAACCCGATTTAAAGAAAGTAAACACAGGTCCATGGCATATCACACCTGTTAGATGGAGCTTGGTATAGTGACAGTAGAAGGGAAAATGTTAAAAATCAGTTTCCTCACACACCATTAGAATATTAGGTTTTGTAAATGGAAATCCTTGATTTATATTGATGCAGGTGCATGATCACATTAAATTTTAATTGATTGGTTTATATAATGCCTCTATGATTTCTGTTCGTAACTAGACCTAGACAATTTAAATTTGCAATAAATATATATTGCAATTAATTTAAAACTTTAAAAGCCCAGTGATTTTTCACCATATTACATAAACTAAGGCAGAATGTATCCATTTTACCCAGGTGATGGGGTGGGTTATTTCATCGCTTGTGTGAAACTTCAACAAAGAAATTTTAACTTCTACATTTCAGTTTGGGAGAAAAAATGGCTTTAAAGATACCAATTTGGAACTTATACATAATTACGTATATATAAGGAATAAGTGTGATTACAACATGTAACATACCTGCTCTTTTTGTCAAGCAAACTATATATCCCACCAAATCCACTTCAGAGCAAGCTGGTTGGAAGGAGGGGTCCATTAGTTTACCATATACCAGACATTCCCTTGGTCTGTAAACTTGTAATAGACTTTCTTGAGAAACCTAATAGCATTATGGATAATAACATAGTGAAAATTGTGTAAAACCTGTAACTTAAGTAGCTCACTTTAGGTCTTAAAGAACACTTACTGGCAGTTGTAGATACTGGGTTTTCTTGGTAGCTGTTAACTGTATATTGTTGGTTTTCAGCTTGCCTTTGGAGTGAGATGCAGATAACTGAAAAATTCTATATCGTCCTCCTTCCTTTAAGAGGCTACAAACATGTGAGGGTGGACGCCAGATGTTCAGTATAACTTCTAAGATTAGAATTAAAAATACAGATTGTATTTTGACAACAATATGGTGCATCTTTAAAAAAATACTTTTGCTGGTCATTGACCATACTCATAGTCCTTAACTTAAAACCATTTGTTTAGCAACCATTCAAAGTTATAACGGCACTGAGAAAAAGTGATTTATGAGCAGTCCTTGCCCAACTATCAGTGTCTTCAGATCACGGGATCAAAATTTGAGTGCCTGACAACTGGCATATTTATGACAGCTGCAGTATCCCAGAGTCACACAATCTCAATTTGTGACCTTTTTAGCTGGCTTCCGACAAGCAGTCGTTGGGAAAAGCCAGATTTGCTCAATGATTGTGTGATTTATTAAATAACTGTGGCAAAAACGTTATAAAATCAAGTGTGTCTTGTGTAGTAATGGAAGTTCTGGTCCCAGTTGAGGTCGCCAAGTCGAGGCCTCTCTATATTTTATTCTTAATAAACAAAAACTACACTTAATATCTATTCATATCTGTGCTACAGATCTTAATTAAATTTACTTTTAGAAATGTTACTATTTGCATAGTGCTACAGTTAAATAATGCATCAAGGGGTGACATACAATCAATTCAGCAAGGCATTCGACAAAGTAGACCACAACCTACTTCTTGGTAAGCTAGAAAAATGTGGAATAGATAGCACCACCACCAGATGGACTCGCAACCGGCTGACAAACCGTACTCAACAAGTAGTCCTTAATGGATCTAAGTCTACGTGGAGGGAAGTAAGCAGTGGGGTGCCACAAGGTTCTGTCTTAGGCCCAGTACTCTTCAATATCTTCATTAATGACTTAGATGAGTGAATAGAAGGGAAACTTACCAAATTTGCAGATGATACTAAGCTGGCAGGAATAGCTAACACCCAAGAAGATAGGCTCAAGATCCAGATGGATCTTGACAGACTAGAACACTGGGCCGTATCTAACAAAATGAAATTCAATGTAGAGAAAAGTAAAGTCCTACACTTAGGCAGGAAAAACCAAAAGTACACATATAGTCTGGGTGAAACCAGGCTCAATAGCAGTAACTGTGAGAGGGATCTTGGAGTCTTAGTGGACAACCAGCTAAATATGAGCCAGCAGTGTGCAGCAGCAACCAAAAGAGCTAATGCAATCCTAAATTGCATTAACAGAGGGATACAATCAAGATCAAGGGAAGTACTAATACCACTCTATAAAGCCTTAGTAATACCACACTTAGAGTACTGCATCCAGTTTTGTTCACTACATTACAAAAAAGATGTTGAGACTCTAGAAAAAGTACAGAGAAGAGCAACCAAGATGATTAGGGGACTGGAGGCTAAAACATACAATGAACGGTTGCAGGAACTGGGCTTGGCTAGTCTAGTGAAGAGAAGGACCAGGGGAGACATGATAGCGGTCTTCCAATATTTGAGGGACTGTCACAGGGAGAAAGGGGTCAAGCTATTTTCTAAAGCACCTGAAGGCCAGACAAGGAATAATGGATGGAAACTGAACAAGGAGAAATTTAACATGGAAATAAGGAGAAACTTTCTGACAGTGAGAACAATCAACCAATGGAAAGCTTGACCTCGGAAATTGTAGGAGCGCCATCACTTGAGACTTTCAAGAGATTGGACTGCCATTTGTCAGAAATGGTGTAGAGTCTCCCACTTGGGCAGGGGGTTGGACACATTGCAGAGATTGTAATTAACCATCTTGTTAGACCACGTATAACGGACAGACTGGATTTTATCATAGATTTTAGTTGTTATTTATTGTTTCATACTAGAATTTTTAATTGTACATTTACTGAGTTTTTATTTGTTCTGGTTTCTGGTCTATGATTGTAATAAACTAAATTGAATTGAATAAATCATTGCTTAAGTACTATATTGTTACATATATTTATGGTCAGTATGCCTTTCACAGCAGATTAAGATCATATTTACCTTTTGAGTTTTCTTTTGTCCCATAATTTACAATTCGTAGCTTGATTATGTTGGATACATCCCTTCTGCAGGAGCTGTTTTTCTCTTGCTCAGCAGATTCCACAGCTTTCCTGAATTCTGCCTCTATCTGAGCTGTCCTTTTATCATTGACCATCTGTCTATGACTATTTAAGGCTTTTAATTGCTCTTCATTGAAAAAACCCTGCAATAAACAGTGGTAAAACTGCAGCTAGAGATCTTAACAAAAGGGAAACATAAAATAAGCCCCCTTTCAATTATAACATGGAATATTAAATTTATGAACGTTTGGCTATCAAATGGATTTTTTCCAGTTAAATCATATACATAGCTATAAGTAGAACCCGAATCAAAAACAGCTATTCACCCATCAGTTTCAATTTCCTATTCAGTGAAAGAATCCAAATTAAAGTATCCTTGGGAGTAATAATCATTATTACTTTCACTGTCATTGTTGCATGGGCAACACTAAAATATCCAAAAAGCACTTTTTATTCTCATAATTAAAAAGGTTTTCAAATAGCCCTCTTGATGTGGAAAAGACTCTTTTTAGACTTCTTTTCCAATTAACTTGCCTTTCTATTTTTTCACTTTCTTATTGTAATCAATTCGTGTTTTTAAATATACACATCAAAAAATAAAGTGATCATGTCATAAATTCTTGTTAATTTTTTTATTTTATAATGTTTATATACAGAAATTTTGAACTTTTTTGGTAGAAAATGTTATAGAATCTGACACATGGCCCATTTTAAAATCTGCTTGGTCTACCAGCCCTATATTTTTGAACAGGACTAGACAGGGACAGGCAAAGAGTCAGATATGGCCCACTGGATGTAAAATAGCAAGGTCTATTCTTGAAGAATGACTGATTTATACAAATAGAATGACTTCCAAAAACTTTTGTTACTACTGTATCACTTACAAATTATATTTCCTGCTATTGAAGTCTCTTGTTAGATTACTATGAAACCATACAAACAGAACGATAGCCACAGATATTAAAACACAAATCATCAAAATCTAGTAGCCTGTTTTTTAAAAAATCATAATTTGGAGACATTTTAAAAACCTAACCAAGAGATAAAATGCCTGAGCTCAGTAAAACTCTAAGTTCTGGAGTAGTTATAGAGAAGAACCAAGCCCAAGTCACTGTGATATGTAATCAAAAGCCTATGAAAGTTTAAAGGTAATACCAATATTTTGTACTGAATTTAATGGATCTTACTTTTAAATCAAGTACTAATATTCTATCCAATCACGGCTACAAGAACACAGACTTAAATTTGTCATGGGCACTGAACTGATACAATCAAGCTCATACATTCATGGTTGAACTTAAATGGCTACTTCAAACAATGAATCTACCCTCCCCCCCCCCAAACATTTTGGTGTAGCAAATAAACTTAGTTATATATACACTTGTCCTCATTAAATTTCCCAATATTTATAAGAATGGATGAAATGTAGCTTCTTTAAAATATTGGGTGAAATTTCTCTCAATATCACCATTTCTTTTTCTTTTTTTTGGGGGGGGGGTCATTCTGACTTCCTGCTTTCCCCCACCTGTGCCTCCTTTGTTTTATCCCCTCTACTTATTGTGTTTTTTTTAACTGAAGCCCTCTGGCAAAAGGCAAAAATTCATAGAATGACTATTTCTAGCATTGTTTAAAAAAACTTACCTCCATGTAAGATGGATCAGCAGAATTAATAATTGCTTCGTAAAGCTCTGCACCATCTTGTAGACCACGTATCTGTTGCCTTGTTAGAGCATGGGATCGCAGTATTTTTTTTCCTTTATCTGTTTTAAAAATTAATGAGACATAAAATTAACATGTCTCAAATACCTACTGCTATGAATTCCCAGTTAACAGAAATCAAATAGAACTGAACATAATGTGACTGTTAAGCTTTTGAAAGGAAATTGTAACAAATCGTGATAGGTTACAAAGAATGTGCCAGCAATTAATTTAAAATTACCATCCCAAATAACATTTTTGTTTTTTCTAAAAACGATAGATATATTTAATGTCTTGTGTTTATAACATCATTTAAAAAGACACCCAAACAAGAACCCAACAGGATTGCCCTATTTTTAAAAATACTATTTAAATATCAAGAATTGGCAGTAAGCATTCCAATTTTGAATATAGCAACACAACTGAGAACATTCTCTCCACTATCTTTTAGACCTTCCATTAGCCATCCCTAACCATTGCCGGTAACACTTAATATCAGTTCAGTCAAAACAACAAGCTATCTTCTTTGGCAGATGGCTACTGCTCAAACAAGAAGTCAGATAGCCCAGTCCAAACTCAAGTGTTCACTTCACCTGTGGCTCACTCTTTCTCCCTGCAAAAACAGAAACTCTTGACCACCCAATTTGTATCCCATAAACCTGTGTTATTTAGCACTTCAACTCATCAGAAGGCTGATAAAAAATTTCTGCATCAAAATCGATTTACAACTTCAGTGGCATACAGTTTTCAATTTATTTGAAATAACACCATTAAGGTGGCAGATTACTGTGTTCATAAACACAATAGTAAACCCAATCAAGCACAGCAGTAAACCTTCTCTATGGAAGCTTGGTTTGAACACTGCATACAGCAGGAACAAAGATGGTGTGCTTTAATAGGCTTAAATAGAAAACGATTCCTTCTGATATTGTTTCATATTTTATCATAGATAGGCAATCTGCAGATCATTTATTGAATGTATGCGGGCAATTTTTATTTAAACAATCAGGTATACAGGGTGTGATCTGTCAATATTCTAAACTAGGCATAAATTACTTAATGCAATGAATTGTAAATCTGGTTTATAGTTAGGACAGAATTATTATTTTGGAGTGAGAAGTACTCAGAGGAAACCATTTCTAAAAGTGATACTTTAACATTCATTCTGTTTATGTAACTGGAAGAATTACTTTTTAAAAATCTGATACTTCTTTAACTATTAATACTATTTAAACATTATTAAATCAGTGATATTACTTTATAATATTCAGGCATGTACTATATGTGTGATATATTTCTGTGCTTAAGAATTCAAATTTTTCAACATTTCACAGTAACTCAATTCTGTTTATAGGGCTGAAATCAAATATAATTGAGAAGGAAAGAGATATCAGTTTTCTAAACAGTTTTCTAAATAGTTCTGACACACAAAGGTTGAACAGAACAGATAGATTGTATAGCAGTGTGAGATTTAAACACGTTTCAAATCTTATTTTATGCTCACTAATTCGACAGACAACTCTGATGTACAAACAAAGTTAGTTTATTAAAAATGTGTTTGCACAGACAGGCCTTCATGTCTCTTCCCAAAGTGGATTGAGATCATGAAGCATACCTTCGGGGTTTCAAACAATACTTTTATACAGTCTCAATCAATAAGATCCCTCCCAGTTCCCTTTGTCTGCGTACTTGACAAACAAATAACACATCCTGCATACGTGACAAACATGACTTCCTTTTGTCTGGTTACACCAGGATTTATCTTATCTTGTCTTTTACGGTTTGTTCAGAGCAAGGCCACACTTTCTTGCACATTCCGGTCAAGCTGACACACAATAGTTCTTCCATTACAATTTGTGGCCTTGCTGCTGAATCTTGCAATAAGAGTCATTAGCATTTTATAATACAATTCAATTTCCCACAGCAGTTTTCATATTTCTCTATAGACATTTTTCTTTTATTACATGCAAAATAACATTTTAAAAAATTAAAAATATAGATGTATATTTTACCATCACTCTTTTCAAATTTTGCTTGTATTTTTGCCAACAATATTTCTAACGTTTTCTGTCGATTTTCAGCAAATTTTGCAGCTTCTCTTTGTTCTGCTCGATTGTTACGAAACACACAGCACCCAGTTGGTGGTTTTTCCATCCACTGAAATTAATATTGGTTGAAAATTAGGCCACGCATTTGAATTACGATTTGCTTCTCAAATACTAGTAATTATGTATATATTGAAGGCTAATTAATAAACTGAATTACCTGTATAGGATAAATCCTTTGAATAATGACATCAATGCAACCAACAGTCCCACCATCACTAAACAATGAGGATAAAGGCAAAGAGAATGGCCGAGGATCACGATAATATCCTAATTTGGCATACCATCGAGCACGTCGAGTACTGTTAGCTGTAATCTATAATAAAACAACTACTTACTTCAGAACACATTGTAATGTAGACTGATAGCCATGTAAATTTTTAAGTATGTAGCACATCTAGTTACAGAGCAAATGTTTATTTCAGAGAAAGGGAATAAATTACACCTGTCAATTGTAAGTGCAATAAAAGTAGTCTATACCACTCATGTGTACATTTTATTTATGGTATTTACTTGATTTCTATAGCTGCCTTTCTGACCAGTAACACTGATTTTGCAGAAGATACTACTTTTGGTCTCAGGGAGGTGGCGATGTGATCTGGGCATGGGATGTTCTCATCTGTCCCTTGAAATGGACAGATCCCTACCAAATGACCCTGGAATTGAGCTCACCTTTACAAGGAAGTGGCCTTATTGGATCAGCCTGGTCCAGGTACCTATTGGACTCTATTTGGTTTCAGAAACAGTTTAGTTTCCCCCCAGTATTTTCTTACACATTTAAATCAAGGCCTCTTGATTGGCTAATCCTTCCAGGGAGGGTGCATCTAGGTGGATACCAAGTGGTGATAAAAATATCTCTTTAAGAGCAAGGTGATTCTGCAAGTTCTGAAAGATGGAGGTGCGCCTGTTATTCAAGAGACCATTCTGAATAGTATTTTTTAAAGAGACCATTCTTGGGCCCAATCAATCTGGATAGCTTTCATCAGTCTCCAACTTTCAGAGAAGGTTGCTAAGGTGGTGTTCAGCTTCCAGTTTCAGAGAACCATGGAGGAAGTAGATTATCTGGACTCTTTGGGGATTTAGAAATGGGTTAAATACAGAGATAGCTTTTGTTGTGCTGATCAATGATCTTGTCAAATTTAGGATGGGGTAGTGCATTCATCCTGGTTCTCCTTGATGTCTCAGGAGTCTTCAATATATCAACCATGATATCCTTCCGAGATTGGTAAAATGAAGACCCAGATTGTTGGGGGCAATATGCTGACTCTGTGAACCATTTAGGGAGGGCTGTAAAGCACTATGAAGTGGTCTATAAGTCTAATTGCTATTGCTATTTTACTGTAATATCTGTTTCTCCCCTAAGCAGTTGAGTCTAGTCAAATGAGTTCTCTGTCGTTGTTGATTTATCATGTTTGGTTGGAATTTTATATTTTATATGTTGGGTTGTTTTTAACACTACATAGTCCCTCACTTGATTGTTTTCATTCTGCACAGTTCACATTTTTGAGTTCAATGGCCCTATAAATAGATAAGTAAATAAAAGGACTTGTAAGCAACTCACATTATAGACACTTACATATGGTGTACTTTTAGAGAGAGGGTGGGAGCTACCTGACCTGGAGACCTATAACTCTAACAGGAAAATACAAAACAAAGAGACAACTATGCAGAAATGTTTTGTCGCTGCCCATTCAATACGTAAAAGTCACCTTGAAATACAATCATAGCACAGGTTATAAATGTACCTTTAACATCAGAGATTCTGGTGCTTCTAAAGGAGTGCTTGCATCCTGAGATCCCACAAGTTCTGCTCCGTGTACAACAATTTTCTGGCCAACTGTAAGCTTCTGCCTAGATAATAGTGACTGAAGAGGAGGATCCAAGACTGCCCTAATTCCATACCAACCATCTGTAACTTCAATGATTGCCACTTCTTTTTTATTGTCCTCAGTGATGCTTTTACTGTCAGCAGTTTGAGGCATGTTTGTGCTAAATGATATAATTTTAGAGATGCACAGTATGATTGTTTTTCCAGCAACATCATCTCTTTCTGTTATTCTTTTGATGGCTGATCGTTGACTTTTATCCACTTCTATATCATACCTTTAAAAAATTGAACAAATATTTCAAACTGATTTTGATGTTTTTGAGAAGCAATTATCTTGCTAAGTAAAAGGTAAAGATAAAGGTTCCCCTCACACATATGTGCTAGTCGTTTCCAGCTCTAGGGGGTGATGCTCATCTCTGTTACAAAGCTGAAGAACCAGCGCTGTCCAAAGACGTCTCCGTGGTCATGTGGCCGGAATGACTAAACGCCGAAGGCGCACGGAACGCTGTTACCTTCCAACCGAAGTGGTCCCTATTTTTCTACTTGGATTTTTACATGTTTTTAAATTGCTAGGTTGGCAGAAGCTGGGAAAAGTAACAGGAGCTCACTCCATTACGCGGCGCTAGAGATTTGAACCACCGACCTTTCTGATTGACAAGCTCAGCATCTTAGCCACTGAGCCACCGTGTCCCTTGCTAAGTAATAGCACTTAATGAGCAAACAGCAATAGTCTCGTTTGAAAGTAGAGCATAATTAAGACTATACAGACACAGGTAAAATTCAGAAGAGTAATTTTCCCAAATCTTAATCTTAATTCTACCTGTACTTTAGCTGAAGTAATACTCCTTCTGGTGTCAAACATTTACTGGCAAAAGATTGTGGAAATGCAACCTCCATAGCTGCCAGTTTCCATACAATCCACTTATAATGGTTATACACCCAGGCTTTGGAAGTTAGATTGGGATCTACACCAGGCGTGTCACATAAAGCCCTGCACAAAAATATCAAAAAATGTATCAAACTATTAGAAGATAAAGCCTGAGTTTCAACACAAAAAAGACAACAATAGAAATCATAATTCATCTTTTTAAATGCATGTTTTGAAAAGAGCGATAAATAAAAACAGAGCCTAGACTCCTACTAGTATAGAAGCTAAAAAATGTCCTGTGGAATTTCTTTGTGTTACTCCCTGCATTACTACTTTTCACATTTAAGCTCTAAATCACTACAGACAACTATACATATTTATCTTATAAAATTCTATATTTTAGTCAAAACACAATGAAAAATAACTTAAGAATTGGATGTGATTATAGTAAGAGAGAATACTGGTGTTTGGATGTAGAAGACTATGAACGTAAATGAGAGGTACTTGAGAGAACTCTAAGTCAAGTGGAGTGGGGGGCATGGAAGAAAGCAGATGTCAGGTTTGGATGTAAATTGCAAATTCTGTGAAAAACGAAACCTGTGCTGGAAATATTTTTCAAAAAGATTAATGGTTTTAATAGACGTGTGTGTGTGTGTGTGTGTGTGTGCGCGCGCATATATATGCTAGGGAAAAATGTGATAAAGCATGATCAAAGTGTGCTAATTATTTTCTTGTACATGAACCTAGAATCATACATTTCAAAGAAAAAATAAGTTTTGTAAATTATTTTAGTAAGAAGGCCTGCAGCAATACTTGTAATTGATTATAGTAATATTAATAATCTATTCAAATTAGTAAACAAAAAGGAACATTTATTTGGATATTAAGGATATTTGTTTCCCATCCTTCCCTCTCCCCCCCCCCCCCCCCCCCAAAAATGAAATCATGAGTTATAGTCTTCCCTTAGACATGAAAGCTAGCTGGGTGATTTTGGATCAGTCACTCTCTCTTAGCAAAGCCCAACACACCTCACAGGGTGGTTGTTGTGGGGAAAATAGGAGAGAACATTATGCATCCAGCCTTGAGCTGTATAAAACAAAGGCAGAATATAAATCTAATAATAAGTAAGCAAGCAAACATAAGAACCTACTTTATACTGAGCCAAAGTATTTATATTACAGTAGTTCAATAGTTCTACTGAATAAACTTTTCAACTGGTAGCTGCCATTCAGAGACCGAGTGGGGTCCAGATTTTGCTTATGACCTATAAGGCCCTAAATAGCTTGGGACCAGTGTTCCTAGCTGATTACTTTCACCATTAGTGACCTGGTCAATCCTTAACATAATCAGAAGTGTCATGTGTGTCATGAGAACCATGGAATGCCATCTAGAAATGCTAGAATCATTTCTAAACAGGCTTTTCATGCAAGTGTGAGTATATTTTGAAATAGTCTCTTTTAAGTATATGAGGTTCCTGAAGGTACCTCTTTCACATAACTGAAATTGCTTTCAACCAGGACTTTCTGTAAAAATGTTAAATGAATGGCTGTTGTTTCTGGATTTATTATTAAATATAAACAATGTCTTAATCTTATAGTTTTTCAGAGACAATAACAAAAAACCACTTTTAAATTTTAAACAAATACTGTAGTTTCTGCATTGCGCTGGTACTGAGAAATATAAACATTTCTGCCATTAAAAACATTAGTAATTCTAACTTTTAATAATGTATTACATACTCATAGATTAGAACTGTCAAACTCATGGCCCTCGGGCTGGATGTGCCATGCGTTGGCCATGCCCAAACCTGGTTTAGTGAAGGGGAAAAAAGTTACAATATGTCATGTGATGACACGAGTTTGACACCCCTGTCATTGATAAATATCTTGAACATCATACCAAAAGAATTCTTCTTTTCCGGCCTTTCCCTCATCATTAGGAATAATATATCCTCCATCAGCCAACTGTATTCCATGGTCTTCTAGAAAATATTTTTTACTGAAAAAATCCTGGATGAGAAATTGAAAATCTTCTGCATTTGTGCTATTAATTTTTATGCATTGCTTGGAAATACCAAAAGCATACAACTGCAAGGATAAAAGGCAGACAGAACATTTTAGTATTATTAAATACATATATGCTCAATATATATGTACTAACAAATTATGAATGATACTTCTCAGCATGTTTCTCAAAAGAAGAAATTCCAACTATAAGTTCCAAGTATTTAGTATCTGTAGTACCATGATATTGATCTCTAGAGACAAAACTTTATAACTTCTTTGGTTACTTTAAAGTCATTATTAAAAAGGTAAAATACAAAGTAATCAGAAAGCAAAAATTCAAAACAGTCAGATCCCTGGAATTAAGTAGCTTTGACTTTTATGTAGGATCTTTTAGAAGACTTAAATGCATCTCAGAACCTTAATAGTAGTCATTCTCATCTCATGAAAGAATAGAAAATGACAAAAAATTCCTCCTCAAATTTAGGCATTGTTGATGGGTAAATAGTACTAAAGTATTCATTTATTTTCAATAGAACAATATAGGATATTGTTCAATATAGGAACAAACCGCAGTTAACCTTGGTTCATTCATTTTCCCTCCTGTTTCTCTACCAAGACTGGAAATACAGAATTAAGAAACTTTTATTCAAGTTCAGCATAACTGAATTTAAGTTAAATCTGAATCAGGACAAAACAAGTTAATATCACTTGAAATCTCCAGTTTCAGAACAAAATATATGATATGCACATATTGTCATTAACAATAATTAATCCAGATTAATCAAAATTAGAAGCAAAAAATAATATCTTCAGGATGGTGGACAAAAAAGAGAGAGGCAATATTACTTGAAATTACCCAAGTTCAGAAAAAAAAAATAACCATGTTGTCACTAACAATAATTAATCCACATTAATCAAAATTAAAAGCAAAAAGTAATCTCCTCAGGACTGCAGATAAAAAAAGAAAGAATAACAAACATACATCTGAAGCTTGGTTATGTAACATTATATAGTTGTTAATATTATATCAAAACCAGATCAATATGCCACTGGATATATTAGGAATGTTAATATTTATTTTCCCCTTCAAAGAAAATGAAGAGGGAAAAAAAGGAGAAAAAATGATGGAGACAGGGAAATTGGTTACATACATACTGTATATACCGTAAGTCTTATGCTTCAAAAACATAATAACAATAAGGAATAGAAAGTTGTTAATCACAATTAAGGGAGAAAATAATGGAAATATATACCATTCTATGTAAAAGATGGTGCTGAAGATACCGTAATGTATTAAAAAACGAATTAATAGAACAATAACCAATTATGTTGTCGGAACTTGATATATCATTCTAAAATATTTCTAGTCCTATAAAGAATTGAAATAAGGCAAATAAACTGTGTGCAGTTTTGTTACATATTGCTACTTAATTACAATTGTAATTACAATTAAAGTGCAAGGCATATTGTACACTAATTTAGCTTCTGTGAGGAGCACTTATGAAGAAACAATAAAAAATCAAAGAAGTCTATATTACAGTGTGTTTTTATAGTAACTAAATCTGTCCTATTTTAATTTTTATTTCCCACCATCCCTCAAATTAGTATCTTTGCTTACAAAGAATGAGAAATATGCCCACAGAGTCATCAGAAATCAATCTGTAGCTATCATCTATGGCAGTTAATTGATCAATGACTATAATAAGCATTGTGAGCAATTATGTTCTTGCTTTTTGTGCAAACAATCAATCAAACTATAAAGTCCCCTATCAATTGGATTGGAAAAAATGAAAAAGTTTTGATTTTCAGCTTCAGCACACAATAACTTATTACAGTATACCACCTTTAAACCATGAAAAAGCTTGTGTTTTTAAAAACAAGTTACCAGAGTTTTCAGACAACGTGAAATGGAAAACTTTAGTTTACTCAATTTCTTAAGATTCCAAAAGGGTTGCATTTGCACAGATAAGATATTTTTTAATAATAAGTCTCTTAAAAGATACTATGCTTACCTGTTCATTGGAATAAAATTCAGGCAATTTCTCTTTGACTGCAGCTTTTAAGGGAATTCTGCAAAGACCAGAAGACCTTTTTACAAGGAACAGGCTGCCTGGTTGTGGATGAATTATTTGATCTTGTTTCTTTGTAATTCTAATTTGTTGTAGATTTCTGGCATACTGAAGATATGTTGTCATTTTTGTTATGTCTGCCAAGGTATTAATGAAATCATGACTATTTTAACTTAAATCAGAAAGTTCAAACTTGCCTAAGATAGTAACACTGAATTCTAATCACATATGGACTATGAACAATTATAAGAGACATATTTCAGCCTTTATTTCAGCATTAATGTGCCAACAAAACTAGTGCTATTAGTGAATAAGCTACTTCTGTAATTTTTACTTATCCAAGTTAATAATAGGAAAGATATCCTTGACTAGTATAAAATTTCAAAGAGTACATAAAATTGTATATAACTGAATTTCCCCAGTCTAGAGATGGCATTGTATAAAATTAGGAGAAGAAATGCTAAGATTATCAAGACATAACAAATAATAACATTTGCGAATATGCTATCTATAACTTTTGTGCATTTCCATAACTAGAAGTCTAATTGTTATTTTGTATATGGAAGATATCCAATTAGATTATAGTCTGCATTCTTTCTAGGTTTGCTTTTTAAATGGTATCTTTTATTATAATAAGAGTTTTAGACAATAATTCTGCCAATAATTAATAAGTAGGAAAATTGTACAGGTCAAAAAAGTTAAAGTACTTGATGTTAAAGGTATTGAGTGGGGATAAAACATGTATCTAATTTTCAAAGGTCTGCAACACAGAATATGTTGAACTGTATATTGATCAGAATTTTTATAAAAATTGTTATGATCATAAACATTACATACATGCCAAAATAAAAAGAATGAGATATATTGAACTGTATGCTGATAAAAAAACATTTATAGAAATTGTTATGATCATAATAAACATTACATACATGCCAAAATAAAAACAAGATTGAGGTATCCAATGTACCTTGAACAATTTTACTACATCCTGAATCCAAAGCTGATGTTCGTGCACAATTATCTTTTTCTGATTCAATGAAGGTTTTAATTTCTTTTGTGTTGTATTCTTGCATTCTGTTGATACTTTTGCAACTGAATGAGGGATGGTCTTTGACATTGCTTATTTCACCTTCTGAAGTTCTTGATTTTATTTTAAAAGGAGGCACAAAGATCTTGGTAGGTTTTTTCCCTGAATAATGATTGGGTGTTTTGTTTTCCTCACTTAAGATCATTCCAAACTGAGCCAATGACCTAACTGAAGACCGCTCTGAAAAACCACCAGATTTAGATCCTTTCATAACTTGTTGTGGAATACTAAAATTTGGATTCAGTATTTCTTGTCGTTCATTTGCAAAACTGAAGAAATAAATACATTTTAATAAGAATCTGAATGGAAGACTAACAAGAATTCTTTTTTATGTTCCTTCTCTTTGACTAAGAAATTCACACAGTTAAGTTGCCATGTATTGCATACATACTTAATTTACTGGTAATTTATTTATATTAATACTGAATACTAATTTATTAGTTTTCAAAATGTTACGAAGATTATCTAATGCATTTTTAAAAAATAGTATCTACTGCTGTGCATTGCCCAATTTCCTTAGTTGAAATGGTTGGCTACATAAATTTGATTAATAAATTAAATGAAAATCAAATATATTTGCTACCTTATTTATATTTTGTGACTTCATTATATCCTTTTGATGATTTACAAATTACATAATATACTATTAGAATAAAATTCAATAAATCAAATAAAACTGTGCCTCCTTGAATCACATTTTCTTAATACTATAGTATACTGTTTTTGCTACTATGATCTAGAAAATTCAATCTTGTCAGCTAAGATTTTTTCCAAAACTCACAACTGCTGCTTTAAACTATCGGGCAAAGTTTTCGACAAAGTATAAATAACTTATGTTAAGAAAAGATTAAACCTAAAATGAAATGACAATCTACTCTTACCTAAATGAGCCACAGATGGCTGGTTTTAAAGAGATCTTGTTAGATATTTTTTTTCTGTCATTTATTACACCTAAATAAAAATAAGTTCTATGAATCAAGTGATATTTAAAAAAATATGGATTTCTATGTTTATGATAAAACTATCAGTTTTAGCTGAGTTTTTTTAAAAAAATTCAAATTAATATTTTCAGGAGAATTAGTTCAGTTTCGTATTAATTTGAATAACATTTGTCAAACAGTTGTATAACAATCACCTCTATCCCTACTGCAAATAACTGGAAAGTATTTGGATGCAGAATTGCTTTCTATCAGCTTCTGTTTATTGAGAGAAGCTTTTAGATAGGTGAGGATAGATGGAAAACAATTATGGGGTATTAGTTTACAAGTAGCAGCAAGATCCTTGAGGTCCCTAAGATATGTTACTGTAAGCCTGACATAATTGAAAAAAACTGTCTTTTTGACGAGTGAAAAAACAAGCACAACTTGAAACACGGTTGTGGTTTTTTTTTTTATTATGCCCTCCCTGTCACAATTTTAAAATTAATCTGAATTACTGCTCATATATCTATATAAAAGATTGTATTTACTTCTATGGGAACATGGCTTTTCTCAGAGTTCTGAAATATAACTTGTTCTTAAATGCAAAGAATATATTTGATCACAAAAAAAGAAATTACCTCCTCTCTTGTCTATACATGAAAAATGTTCATCTGCCAAAGCTCTGTGATGGTGTAATAATGTAATATGGAAATACTATTACTACCACAAAGATCACTCAATTTTGAATCAGCTGAAGTTCCTGAATGGATTGCAAAGGCTGTCTCACACAAAGTAAATTACAGTAATCAAGCCGATAAGTGACAAAATCATAAATTTCTATATCCGTATATTCTGTGCCAGAAAAGGTCACAAACTATACCAGCCAGAACTAGACAAAGTCTTCTTGGCCATGTCTTACACCTGCTCTTCAAGCAGCAACCCCTCAGATTGCATATTGTTTTTCTCTGGGAGACCACAATCCAACATTGAAATTTCTAATGGAATAAGAAATAAGTGGTTCAAAAGAATGCATAGTAGCGATATACAGATATATGTAAGGATTAGGTGTGTGTATATGGCATAAAATAAGGATAAAAAAGAGGTCTTACAAACTGTTGAAGATGAGAATGTTTTTAATTGTTTTCTATTTTTCTCTATTTTCTTCTTTCTTTCCTCTTTTTCTCTCTTTCATTTATGTATGTGTTGTTGGTTTGTTTTAATTGTAAAATCAATAAAAAAAATTTTTTTTAAAAAAGAATGCATTTTTAAGTGTTGCTGATCAAATGTTCTGATAACTATATTGCATTTATTACTGCAGATTACAGAACAAACAACTCCAAGTTTGTTTGGTTTTTTTGGGGGGGGGGGGGAGTTATGCGGGAAACTTTAACACCCTCTAGTTTTCCTTTGTTAACCAGAGATAGCATCCTGTTTCTGAAGTTGGGCTTTGGGAAATAGTTTTGACTGCTGCAATTGTACTAACTTCTTTTCTCCCTAGCAGTTTTCTTAACCAGGCCTGTGGTCAAACTGATGATGTTTTCCCAGACTTATGTAATTGGGAGACTTCAATTTGCTATTGCTCAAATTATGAGGTAGTTTGGGATTTCACAGCCATCAGTACAACCATAATCCTTGGCCTGATTCATTCCACAGAGGTCACACATTGAATATGTTTTAAAAAATCTTAGGGCATTACGTTATCTGAAGGATATTAATATGTCACCTGCTATAGTAAGATTACTCTCAAGTTGGTCTGCAGTTTTCTGGTACTGTTCCCTCTCCCATATGGAGCTGGGTCCTCTGAATAGTCTGCCCATATGCCTGATGGACTGTTAGTTTTCAGAGCATGTTTGGGGTTTAAGATTAAGATGGAAAGTTCAATTAAGGCTTTAGTCATCACTTGGAATGAGTAGGTAACAACAACCCTGGATCAATCCCTTCACTTTTTACATTGTAGTCCCTCACACATCAATCTCCAAAACAAGAAAAATATGCAGGCGCTATAAAACAAGCAAGAAAAGAAATGGAGTGCCAAAGAAGATAAAATGTATGTATCTTTGAGATGGCTTACATAGACTGAAAAACAAAAATTACCATATGGAGAACTTCTTGAAGATTTGAAAGATGATCTTCTGGATTTTTCGGATTGATCAAATTCAGGCAGCAGCTTTCTTTTAAGGGGAGGTTGTCCTGAAAAAGGTGTCACTGAACATTTCAAAAATGCATATTCAATAAATATAAATTTCTATGGAACATCTATTTAACTGATTTATTAAATCATGTTTTATGTGGATAGCAGTGCTTTCTTTTGAAAGCAAGAGGCTTATTTTATTCATATTTTGGATTGATGTATCTCTATACTACAGATATTACTTTTCAAAATATTTATAAATAAAATATTTACAAATAAACCCAAGTTCTAATTAACTCAGATCCTGATGACTACAGATTCAATCTTCCATGTTTTTCCCCAGACATACAGCAGTGATTTGCCACTGTGTTTTTAAAAAAATGTTTTTCAGTTTCCAAGCCTGGCCTACAATCTTGGCATTTGCTATCAGAAATTCCAGACTAGAAAGTCAAAACACTAGGAAGCAAGAAGTAAAAAAATAATCCATACAATTGCTAAAAATGGCATAGATGTAATTACCAGAAACTGAATCATGGAGGAATGTGAGAACTTTACATTATACATTCACAATTCTTCACGTGAATATTTCTCATTATTCAAGAAAAATGGTAAAATGACTAAACAAAAATGGTTGAATTATTTTTAGGGGACAGCTGGAGGAGAGAAGGTATAACTACCCACTTTTACAGCATATTCTTCCTCTCAATGTGAGCCCTGCTAATAGGATAAAAGCTGTAGAATATTTATAAGAGCAGCTATTATTGCTATTACTCTACTCTTCCATCAATCTTCACTAAATCTCATGTTAATGTTACAGTCAACCCTTTGGCAATATAAATTTGAGACTTTGTATTTTTTGAAATAAGATTTTTCTTCACTGAAGTCAATAATTGTGTAGAACATCAATCTGAACTATTGTCAGTGTGCAGTCTTCAGTACCTTAAATGAATTTTAAGGTTGAAGAAAGCAAAAAAGTACTTACCAAATGTGTTTTCTTTTTTCAGGTGTCTTTTCCCACTTCTTGTACGCAACGGAGAATTATTAGCTGTCAAGATAGATTTTTGAATATTTCTTTGTACTTCTGAATCTGTGAAATTGTCATCTTCTATGAAAGCTTTTGCACTTTCTGAAGCTTCTACATCTGAGTAATTATCTGGAGTTTGGGAAGAAGCAGGACAAAAACAATTTGGATTCTCTTCTGTTGCATGTTTAGTATTGATTCTGCTTTGGCATGGTTGTGTTATCTTCAAAGGTTGAGTTACTTCTTTTGAACATGAAAAGCTTCTTTTGGATTTTGCTAGTTGCTTGGATTTCTCAGTAGAAATGATGTACATAGGTATTTCAATATTTAGCAAAGATTTAGAAGTTTCTTTCTCATTCAGATTCTCTCTGGTTTTACATTTCTCCTTCGGTTTAGATGATGAATTAGTTTCATGCTCCTGTTTAATTTTTGTAATGGGAGTTTTTATTGAAGAATTATGAGTTTGCTTTAAACTTTCATCAACAAAGAAATTACTTGCACTGATATCATCAAATTCTTTTAAAAGTCCCATAGCATTTTGGAGAGCCTTCTGAGAAATCTGGACCTGTTTCCCACATGCTGTATTAAAATCACATGGAATGCCTGAATATTCTTCCATATTTGGATTTTTTCCCCTTTGGGATATATGTAATCTATTTTCTCTGGGAAATTCTTTTTTTCTGACAGAATTCATTGTGTTATCATAATTGCAATCTGGATCAAAATTCTGATAACCAGATAAATCAGATTCAATTTCAGAAAAAAGTAGGCTTGCTTTCTTTCGTGATTCTTTAGACAACTGAACAGGCTTACCACTTGCTGTGCTAAAAAATCCACAGTTGTCAGTAGAAAAGTCTGATTTGCAATCCTTTTTGTTGGAAATTCTGGTATCAGAACAGATCTGCATTTCAATAAAGTCATCTGAAGTTTTACAATTTAATTCAGGCAGAGTTTCCATTGATTTGGGTACAACACATGATAATGCTTGGGTGTTTTCACAGAACTTTTTGGTTATAGGAAATCGGGACAGGTCAGAATATTCTGTTGAAATCTTCTCTACACTCAAATAGCTGGAACCAATACAGTCCCTGCTACCAAAAGCAACAGAAGAGCTTCCAAAGGCATCACCATTATTTACTTCAGAATGAGATTCTAAGTTACTGAGGTTTTTATGAAGAAAGTGTTGGGCATTTTTTAATGCTTCCTGAGAAACATTAACAGTTTTACCACTTGCTGTTCTAAAATTGAATGTAACTGGGCTAGCTTTCAACTGTTTTGAAGAGGTGTCTTTTTCTCCATTAGTTGAGGATTTCTCTAAGGTGCTAATATCTAAAAAATGCAAGCTACAATTTGGTGTCATCCAATTTTCATTTTTACAGGTTTTTCCAGATATGTTGACATTAGTTTCTGCATTAACATCTGACTCAGATGCATTCATGTTCTTCACTGAATGTATCCCATTACAGCTGAAATTGTCATCTGAAACAAAATTCTGGTGACCTGATAAATTAGGTTCAATTTCAGAAAAAAGTTGTCTTGCTTTATTCAGCGATTCTTTAGATAACTGAACAGGCTTACCACTTGCTGTGCTAAAAAGCATACATTTATCAGTAGAAAAATCTGATATGCAGTTCCTTTTGATGGAAACCCAGGTTTTAAAACATTTGCCCATTTCAAAACTTTCATCTGTAGTTTCACAATTTGATTCAGAGTGTGTGTCTACCAACATGGGTTTAGCACATGGTAAAGTTTGGGCAGTTCTACATAATTCTTTGGTTATAGGAAACTGGGATACATCCAAATATCCCATCGGCATCTTCTCTACATTCAAGTAACCAGAAGTAATGCAGTTTTTACTGCCAAAAGCATCCAAAGAACTTCCTAACATATTACATTTATTTGTTTCAGAGTGAGAGTCCAAATTACTGTAATTTTTATGAAGAGATAGTTGGGCATTTTTTAATGCTTGTGGAGAAACTTTAACAGTTTTACCACTTGCTGTTTTGAAACTGAATGCAGCTGGTGTAACTTTCAATTGTTTTGAAATTGAGGTTCTCTCTTCATTAGTTGGATATTTCTGTAAGGTGCCAGTATCCAGTAAATGTAAATCACATTTTGATGTCATCCAATCTTGATTTTTACATGTTTCTTTCAAAATACTGATTTTTTCCCCTCCATTAAAATATTCAGATGCATTTATATTCAAGGTCAGTCCTTTAAAGATTAGTCCATTCTTGAAACCCTGTTTAACCTTGTTTGACAGCACACCCAAAGAATCTTCAAAATTATTTTTAGAATATCCAATTTCTCTACATTTCTCAGCTCCTCCTCCAAATTTAAAATTCTTTTCAACTGAATCTTCAACACTAGGTTTTATAAGATCACCAATATTGTTCATATTTCCAAAAAAGAGATCTTCTTCTGAAAGAAGATGCCTTGCTTTAAGTAAAGATCTGTCAGTAAATGTAATTTGCTTACCACTGGCTGTATGAAAACCACTAGTTTGCTTTTCCCTGTTTTCAGAGACATTCTTATGGTTGCACCCAAAAAATATTTCAGTCTGATTGAATTCTGTACTCTCTTTCACAGAAGGGATAATTTCGTTATGTCTAACATTTATCTTCCTTTTGCAATATGACATATTATTTATCTCTTCCCGTATATCAGACCCTGTCAACAAATTAAGCCTCTTACTTTTTTCTGCAAATATGCTCCCATCAGTAACAGCGTGAATGCTCTGTAGAAAATATTGTTTTTCTGGATTACTTACTTTTTCCTCTTGTTCTGAAATAAAGCTTTTTCTTGCACCTGCATCATTCCAAATATTATTTTTTTCAGTTTTAGCAACTTCAACTAAACATGTTAGATCAGACAAAGTTTCTGGGCAATTATTGTTACAGCAAGTTTTCCCACAATTTACAAAATGATATATAGGTAAAGCATTTTGATTTTTAGTGGATGACAATTCATTTTCTGATACATGTACAGAATATTTTTGAATAATTTTCAAGTTTACTTCTGTAGTGCTAGTAATCTGGACAACACTATCTTTTTGGCAGTCCACATCTTTTAACTTATTTCCCATATCTTCTTTTACGAAAGCAATTGTTGTATCTTTTGTGGTATCTTGTATTATATATTTAGCATTTCCTTTTTTGGCTTTCTGAGGCCAATCAATATCTATTTCTTTCATAGGCATATGCCAACTATTGCATTTGTTTGAACCATCCGTTTTTATTTTATAGGAGTTCAATATTTCACCCATTCCATTCATATTTCTGGCTAATTCTGTACCTCTTCTTGTAATCTCATCTTTGTTTTTACCTGAATTATGATTTTCCATATCAGACTGTAAAGGATCTGAAATAATTGGAACAAAACATTTGTTTTCTTTTCTGTTTGATTTCTCATTGCTTTGTCTGTCAGTATTATATTCCCCAGTATCTATATGCTTAAAAGAAGAATGATTATCACCTGGATCATCCACAAATCCCGTATCTTTCCAATTCTTAGAATTTTTTTTTTTTTTATCAAAACATCTAGTCTTGTTAGTGTTATTGTACATCATAGTCTTGTGTTTTCTAAACTGGGTAAATTCAAATTGACTGTCTGTTTCTTCCAATATATTAGAAAGTTCAGTAATTTCAGCTATTTGGCTTACTGTTAAATTGGGTTTTTCTTTAGGGTGCTGATTTTTAAGTACATTTTGAATAGATTTATTGCCATATTCAGGAAAACCAATTTTCATATCATCTGAGTGAATAGAGTTTACCACAGAATCAGAAACATGTAAATTTAGCTCATTTTGTCCAACTGAAAAATGCTCAGTATTTTCTTGTTTATTTTGACTTGAAATAGCACCTTTTTCTTCATTCTGAACGTCTTCAAGAAGTTGATCTTCTACATCCTTGAAAAGTAATTTACCTTTTCTGATTTTATCAGCAGATAGCACTATCTGTTTATCAGATGCAGTCTTAAAACCTTTGAATTTCTGGATTTTCCTATGACAAAGACATCCTAACTCTCTTTGCTTATCACCAGGCACACCTTTTAAACTTAGTAAGGGAGACAGTTTTGTATCCATTTCTTTCTCCAATACCATAGTTTTAGATTTTGATGCTTTCGTTGAATGAATACCACTGTCCAAAAATTGTGCAGTTAATTCCAAGGTTTCTTGTTTATTTTCTGTTTCTGATACTTGCATCGGCAATGTACATTCTTTAATAAATGCTTCTTGTGATGAACTATAATTTGCAAAACCAGTCTTTCTATCCACACAAGTATTGCTATGACAGATTTCATGGAATCCTTTTTCAGTTATCTGTGTTTGATAATTAGCAGCAATATCTCTGGAAAACATTACAGCTTCTTTCTTCATATTATTTTTTAGAAGTATTGCTGAACTATCAGTAGTGTTATGTTCAATATTTGACTTTTTACTACCTGTAGTTTCATATAACATGTTAGGAGATGTATAGCATTTTTCAGAATCTATTTGCTTTCTTTCTTTTGTGGAATGATTATCAGCAGTTTCAATTTGTCCTGTAAGAAGTTGAATTACAACAGGGATGTGAGTTAAAATATCAATATAAATATATTCTAAACTTCTGTAGTATAATATTGTACTAAAGTATTTTTTCAGGATATCAACTGAGAAGCCACAACTTTTATTTATATCTGAATTGTAGATTTTTATTCTATATCTGAAAAACCACTAGATATTAAAGCATTTGTATGCTTTTATATTTATAGTTAAACAGAATAGGTTTGTCTATACCAAAGAAACAGCTTTCTCTGAGAAATCTTTTTAGGCATACCTATATGAACAAAATGCATATTTTTATTATGATTTCTCTGTAAAACCACCCCAATAGAACATACCAATAGAGTTGATTTTTTTAAAATAAAATGTATACCTTTTCAACACATAATAATTGGGATTCAGTAATATATTTTTAGCAAAATCAAGTCCTTTTTTTTAGAAATATTTGAAATTACAATCTACTTTTGGAATGGTTTATTCAGTCCACCTTCGTCTTCATTAGCTCTTAGAGAAAACTTTCTCCATCCAGAGATGGGGGAAAGGAGGGGAATTCCTTTATTTTTAAGATATGTTATTTTTACTTATACTGACCAGCAGGAGGCAGTATATGACCAGTTTCATTCTATCTGAAATTTGTCAATTGTCATTTACTAAGACCTGATACAAAGCTCTGTGGGCTATGTATACCTGATAAGTCTCAAATAGAACAAAACAGGCTTCCTTATAGTCAGTATCTGAAATTCCAATATTTTTCTTTGTTTTTATAATTAACCATACTTTATTATATCTGAAAATGACTTCAGCAACAATTAATTAACATGTATACAGTATATTTTAGTAGACTTTTTCAATGCAGTAAACTAAAGTCACAACAATGAACTGAAACATAAATGGAATTTTAAGACTTAAGTTGTAGAAATTAATACACAAAGGAATATAAATATTGTACCTTCATTCTTGATTAGGATTTCAGAAAGTTCAGAGATACTGGTTTCTAAAGTTGTACATACTGGCACAAAACAAGTAAGAGATCCATCTCTCTGGGTGGTTCCTTCTTCCCGCTGAACTAGAGAATTGTTTAGAGCATAAATGAATTTTTTGGGCCGCCTTTTCAAACTGGAAAGTGAGCTGATATTTTTCAAGCTTGATTTTGTGTTTTGTCTGCCATCACTAGAAGTTTGATTTGAAATATTATCTAGATGGCCTGGAGAACTTTTATCCTTCCTTGACAAATCAGAATGAATACTTTGGATTTCTGAGGATTCTGTTAAAGTTCTGCTCTTTAAGAAATAATTATTCTCTGAAAAATTAGTCAATAAATGTGAGTTTTTGGAAACGGATAACTTTTCTGGAGAATTCATCTTACTACCTTGTATTAGACATGGTGTGTTTAACATATTTGATTTTAATATTTTAGGACTACTGCATTTTTTTTCAATAGATGATGGACTATCCGGAGAAGTTTTCTTGACCTGTAAGGTAGAAGATGAACTAATGCTCTTCATGAACCTTTTTTCAAGCTGCGTTATTTCAAGACCAGACAAGTCCAACTGAGACCATGGACAAAGCAAAGATGATGGCATATTCTCCTTTCCGCTCACTGCATTCTGTATTGTTGGGACATTTGTATTCAGGTTACATTTAGAAGATTTTAACTTTCTTTCACATTTTCTTCCATTAGAAGCCTTAATCATTTCATGTCCTCCTTCAAGTTCACCATGATTCTTTTCATAAAAAAGAACTTTTTTATTCTCAACTGAGTTAATTTTTTTAAGAAAAACTCTGCTGCTGGCAATGTTCAGAGAAAAATCATTTGTTCCACCATGATTATCTTCATCCATTGGTACATTTGATGGCTTTTGGTATCCATGTAGCTCAACAGGATATGGATTCTTATCAAAAGATTCATTTAACAAACTTTCAAGATCTGTAAATAATTGCAAAACAACAGCATCAGAAGTAAAATCCCGCAAAAGAAATTTGGTAACGAAAATTATATGAGAATTCAATTATAAAATCTAGGTTAAGGCTTAGGAAATATTAATGTAGTCATTTGTACATGAAAATCCAATGTCCATTTGAAACTAATTATCTGTAATGGTTTGTGGAAATAATCTTGGGAAACAGGGCAACAAGACACAGTCAAGTGAACAAGAAAATAAATTATTCTGCAGCAAGAATGTGAATGGGGCAAGAGGTTCAGAAGTACTTTCAGATTTTCAAGAGACTGTTAATGTAACTTTGAAACCAAGCAAAATTAGTTCATCTAGTCATGTTGCCTGTTTGGTCTACCTGGTAAGGCCAACACTATCCAAAATATTATCAATTATGGTTCATTTAATTACTAAACAAAAATAAAGAAATAAATACTGTATCCTAAACAATTATTCTAATATTTGCAATAGTGGCAAATATTTAACAAATAAAAATATTAAAGGAAAAGAGGCAAACTAAGAGTTATAAACTGTTAATAAAGGACAAATGCTCACTGTGAATTTTGCTGTCCATTTCTGCACATGCAATTTCAATTCCTGATGAAGATTGCCTATTAATAATATTGCTCTTGAGACTTTTCCCATGTTTGGAAAAAAAACCATACATGATCTAAAAACCAAAGCAATGAAAATTAATTTATAAACTTACATATCAGTTGAAAATTGTAATACCAAAAATGCACATTCTTTACTTACAGTATCAATTATTTCATTATGGATCTTTGTTCCAGAAACTGAATCATTTCTTCTGTCTACAATTCAAACGATATATATTATTTGCAGTTATTTTATGACTCATTGATGGAAATGTTTTATGTCAAACTTCTATTTAGTGAAGCTTTGTGAGAATTTTATTTCAAAATACAGAACATATTTAATGAAATAAGTTGAACAATTAAATATTCTAATAAAACTATTGGTACTTATATTAAGCTTGAACAATGCAACCATTTGCAATGATTGCAATGAATTAATTATATGGATCCAACATATTTAGACCAGTAATTATTCAACTTAACCAAACTTTTAAGAATACATTTGATTTCATATTTATTTATACCCAGCCTTTCATTCAGGAACTCAACTCACTGTAGTTCCTCCTATTTCTTTCCGCAACAGCTTTGTGAAGTAGGCTGAACTGAGAGATAGCAGCTAGCTCCAAATAAGCACTGGCTGATGATGTAGTCAAATTGCGTTTTCCCACTTATTGTCCATCCATCAGTATGTCACATTGATTCTATTTCTACCTCTTTAACCATATTGAAAATGAAACAAGTATATGTCTAATAATTATCAGCTGATTTCAAAAGAACCATAATTTTAATAACAATATATGTATTATATTAATTACAACTGCAAAATGTCTTTCTCTTGTAGTTACTCTGTATTTACTATTCTTTATCCTCACATTTCAGTCATAACCATGTTACCTTCATTATCTATTATGACAGTTGGAGAAAGTGTAGGAGGTGTTGCTAAAGAACTTGTCCAAGACATATCAGGATCTGCTTCTACTCCCAAGCTTTCAGAAATGCATTTCTGTGTCTGAACCTAAAATATAATGAACAACTGTTTAAACACAAACATAGACACAGACACACACAAACACATATGGTATTCTCATAATTAAAATATTTTAGAATAAAATTACCTCAAAAATCTTGGGTGTTTGTAATAAACTTTCACTTAGTACTGAAAATATGAAAGAAGGTATTCTTAGAATGAGCATATATTTATAAACTAATACAACTTTCAGTGCAATAGATAAAGACATTCATATTTACCATATTTATTATTTTGTTTTTCTTGTACAACCGATCTGAAATATAAAGAAAAAATAGTTATTTAAATCAAAAGAATCCTTAAACACAATTTTAATTTCTATAACTACATAAAATATAATGAACAATGTTCACACGTCCAACTCATTTAAACAAGATGTATCTTTTTAAAGTCAATATGGATAATCTCAGAGCTTCTGATACTATAGCACTAATGAGGTTAAGTACAATCCTTTGATTAGCCATTTTAATTTCTCCAAAAGACAACATAACTATTATAGAATGATATTTGATATCATAGTTTGAATATAATTATTTTCTTATCTCTCTGCAGAAATATGTTTACCTATCAGAATTTATCTTTAGGGAAAATTACATGTTATAAGTATCACAGGGGTATGTTATGCATCAAATATACTTCTTAGTTGATGGGATGTGGGCAATAATATATTGGCTTGCAAAGAAGTCTCTGAAGCACCTGCACTAGAGCAACAGCGAGGTAATATTAGATTTTGATTGTGCTTATTTTGATCAGAACATGTCCAAACTGATTAATACTGTTCTTGATAATGGTGAATCTGACATTGCTGTTATAATTAGTTACCTAGTGTAATTCTTTCCCATTCTACCAAACTGGTAGGCGAAAGCCTCAATTGTTCAAATCTATGGTCTATCTGCTGACAGACGTAACATATGAAGAAAAATGTACAAGGGGTTCATAGGTTGAAATAGGGTCACCTAAATTAAGGTGAGCTGATCTTGTAGAGTTAAGATAAATACATGTTGGGGAAATGAAGATGTAAATTTAACTATAAATGAAAAAGCTAAAATGTATGTCACAAGGTATGAATCCATGTCATCTAGACTGTTGTTGGGGTGTATGAAAGTAGAAATTCAGTGATAGCTATTACTGTTCAATACACTGATTAAAAATGAGCAAGGGAACAATTGTGGAACATGAAATACAGATAGAATAGGGCAGATAGGAATATGGAAGATTAAAAAAGTGGCTGGACCATTTAGAAATCCAACAATTAATGAAAATAATAATTTTTATATCTTTGAATATCTGCTTGGAAAATGTTGTTTCAAATTTATGGTTTAGGCATATGTATCTATGTGTGCACGCACACAAACACACATTTAATTGAAAAGCTTAATTGTTTTTATATAATGAAAGATCAATACAGTTAATAAAGGATACAAGATTGATGAGAGGTTCTGAATATGGAATATACCACAACTTGGAATTGTCAAGAAAGATCTTATGCAGTCTTAGAAGGAAGGGAAAAATGTAAAAAAAAAATAGAGAAGACTGAATGATTGCAGGGGAAAAAAGTATGACACTATGAATATTTGTACTAGTGATGGAAGATAAATTAATCTTCCAACAGAATGAATGGAAAGCAGACATAACAAAAAAGCATGTGAAAGCTGCTTGGAACAGAGTGAAAAAAATTATGCTACAAGTGCTACAGAAATGTATGGAGTAATGCTAAGGGAAAATATGAAAAAAGATGCTTGGTAGAATGATGAAGTGAAAGTGGCAAAATAGGTGCATACAGGAAGTGATTGCTAAAAAAATTAGGAAATATGTTATATCAAGATGGGCAGGAGTTGGGCAGGAATATTGTTTTTTACACATTGTGCCCTAATTTGCTTGGCTATTTCTTATGCTTCCAGAAAATGTATCCACATCAATGTCACTACATTCATTTCAATATACCAAATAATTAGCTAAAGTCTGAGGCACTTGTTGCCATGTTGAATTAATCTGGTGTAGTAATGAGCCAATTTGCTAGTTTGGTTGGTTAAAGACGTCAGGCTAGAAAACAAGAGACTGTGAATTCTAGTCTTTCCTCAGATGCAAAGCCAGCTGAATGATTTTAGCCAGTCAGTTTGTCAACCCGAAAAGGCAATAGATGATTCCAAGAAATCATCATCAATATGGCCAAGCATTGTGATGTTACCTTGATTCAAAAGGCAAATTTAGCTGTAACAATGGAATTCTTTTTTGTGTTGTTATAGACAAGATCTATACCTGCAGATAAATAAATGAGATGCACCTTGTAATAACACAGGAACTAGAAAGATTCATTCCTTCATTTGATTCATCCACTTGTGTCCCCGGTCTAGGCATTTCACTGAAAGTTTTACCTGTATCAAAGAAATGTAAGCAAAAAACCTCTTTCACTACTAGATAGTTCGATTTTTTCCTCTACATTTGTCTTATTAAATCTTGAAGGCTGCAGGAAGTACATTTGTTATTTAATCATTTTTTAACCATTTCTAGCTCCACAATTCCATTGCCCCTCTGCTTATGGTCACTTTCCCCCTTTTAATAGTTAAATCAGTTTAGTGTGGATACAGGATCTAGTAATCCAGAACAAGACATTAAATCTATGGAACGTAACTTAGAGATTGTGCAGATCTATCTTTTAAATAAAGTGAGTGAATATAAAAGATAAAGGTAAAGATTTTCCTGTCCAGTCGTGTCTGATCTAGGGCATGACGCTCATCTGTTTCTTGGCGGAGGTAGCCAGCTTAGTCCTAAGACATTTTCTGTGGTTATGTGGCCAACATGGCTGTATGGAACACTGTTACCTTCTCACTGAAGTGGTACCTATTAATGTACTCGCATTTGCATGCTTTTGAACTGCTAGATGGGCAGGAGTTGGGCAGGAACGGAAGCTCACCCTGTTGTGTGGTGCTTGGGTTAACCTGGGCTATCAGCTTTCTAACTGACAAGCTCAGCATCTTTAACTGAGCCATTGCACCCTGAGTGAATAGTAATAATTAATAAAACAAATGAAGCACAAAGAATATTCTAAAGATACAGATGCTAAATATGATTTTAACAAAACATTACAATATGTTGAAAATGCTTCAGAAATTAGAGTACTAATTAGGGATATGGAACATTTAGTGACTAAGAAATGAATTGCCAGAATTGCCCTCCATCCCCCCGAGGCCTTTGGTATTACAAACAAGATGGAATAAAATCCCACCCCGTTGGTCCTCAGGCACCGGCTGAATAGCCTGGATCTCCAGCAGGTACTGAATAGCTGTTTCCATGAGGACTCCTCTCTCTCTGTAATGAATGAAAAACCTCGGGGATATGGAGAGGAATTCTAGAGAAAGACCCGAATGAACGGTCTCTGGGACTCAGGTGTCGGTGGTTACTTCCTCCCAACGCCTGGCAAACAAGGCCAGACGTCCCCCAATGGCAGGATTGACAGTAGATTTATCTGGGGCATCGGAAGGGATGACCCCCAGCCCCTCAAAAGGGCCTGTTCTATACACTATAAACCCAGAAGTGGCCGAAATTGTCTTCTATTCTATTTTTTCATGTTTTTATGGAAATGGGGCAAAAGCTGTTATTTTATACCTCAATCATCAACCCAAAATTCCTGTTTTATACAGGCCACAATATTTGAGCTGACAGCTAATATCACCAAAATGTTACTTTTCTAGTTGTGGACTTTTATGTAGCCAGAAAAATACAATTTCCACAGAAGAGGTATCTGCATTATAACATTTTGTTTCCATACTACATCCATTTCATAAATGGTACACATACAAAAGTTTACAATTTTGGTTACATATTATTTCTTATCTTACCTGTTTCTTCACTGGACTGAGCTGATTTTTCTATAGGAGAAGTAAATGTTTTTACATTTTTATTCTGGTCTTTAAAAATCATGGGAGTTGATACCGATGAGTTATTTATAGACAACTTCCCTTTTGGGGTTTTGAAAGTATTTTGATCCATAGCTTTGTGTAAGGGGTCTTCTGTTTTTTTCACATCATAAGGTGGAGCTTCTGAACTGAGTTCTTCAAACCAATTGAGACTTATTGGTCCTAGGTCTAAGAAAAGCAGTCAATACATTATTTAATATATGTTTCAAGTTATGATTTAATGATTATTACACATTAATAATTTGTTTACAAATAATGTAAATTACTATATATTACTTTCATCAGAAAATAATCACTTTAGAAGATTATTTTGCAGGATCTAATCTGGGCCAGTCACCAGGACCAGAGGTTTTGTCTTCTGAGCTTTCAGACTCATGCTGGAGCCCATCCTCAGAGAGAAATATCCTGAGGATGGGCCCCAGCATGAGTCCAAAAACTCGGAAGACAAAACCTCTGGTCCTGGTGACTGGCCCAGGTTGGATCCTGCAACATTATCCTGGGACAGGTATATTCATCTTCATTTGTAAGATTTTTTATACAATTACTGATGTAGGTTGGCTTTCTACAAATATTGTGTAATATTAGATTTTTAAATAAATATGAACTACCATCAAATATTACTACCACTACTATAAAATGTTTTTTTCTAATAGGCAGGGCATCCTATGGAGAATATCTCCTCCCACTTACTTTAAAAGCAGAGTTCAAAACTACTCTGAAATTCTTTCTGAAGGTCTTCACGTATCGCCTTGAATCATGAGATCGGTGGCAAATAAATTTAATAATAATATCTGGCTCTGTCTTGTTTGGAGAACATGCATGCCTATTAGGCATGTGACCAAGATTTGCTTACAAGCTAAAGACTCTTTATCAGGTCACTCTTTTATAAACAACTAACTGCAAGCTTCTCTGTTATCAGCAAAAAGATTCACCTCCATGCCAAATCACTAGAAGGTTTTTAGAAAGAGAAACAAAGTCTTGAGGCTAAGGTATATATGTTAGTTACAATTGGGAAACAGCTCAATTACTGAGGCTGTTGTAACCCTATCCTTTCCTTCTCAATAAATCTTAATGGTTTATATTAACATAATTATTTTTCATCACACATTATATTATTTATAACAGACAATAACAGAAAAAGGTGAAAAAAAAACACAAGAACCTGGCAGTAGCTACAATTAAGCATGCACATTTTCATCTTAATTGTATAACAATCTGCCTAAATTTTCTTTAAACTCTTTTTCTGACTTGTCAGTCTAAAATTGGGAAAGCAGCTATTCCCCTCTAACCAAGGAATATCAAAATAATTTCAATCTTGTCTCCAGAGCAAGTAGGTAGGAATATCAACTGTAAGATACGTTGTATCATCTATAGAAAATGAACTTGCAATGTACTATTTACAAAGGTAAGTCTCATATTTCAAGGAAAAAGTTTCATATAGCCTGTGATGGCGAACCTATGGCATGTGTTCTGGAAGTGGCACACAGAGCCATCTCTCCGGGCATGCCAGCCCATTGCTCTTCTGGGTTCTGCCATGTGCATGCGTGCCGGGCAGCTGGTCTTCGCATGCGCGGGAGCGCCGGAAACTGTTAAGATCAGTTCCCCGGTGTGGATGTGCACGCTGGGAAACTGAGCTTCTGGTTTCCAGCACGCGCATGCACACCAGCTAGCTGGTCTTCGCACACGCATGTGTGAAAGCTGAGGCATGTGGGCAGCTGAGCTTCCAGTCTGAAAACTGGAAGCTCAGCTGCCCTTCCAGTTTCTGGCGCTCCCACACACACGCATGCTCCCATTTCAGCACTCAGTGCCAAAAAGGTTCGCCAACACTGATATAGGCTGTACTTGGCTTACAGTTTGTTCAGCAACTGTTCAGAGCACAATGGTACTGAATTAAGCACAATAGTACTGACTTACAACCTGTACCAAAATTTGGTTAAAATTTGGGCTCTTGGCACTCTATCCATACTTACAACCACAAGAGTGCTGAAACTCCCACCTGCCTATCTGACCACCATTTATGTCCCTTTGATCATTTGCTGTCTCCCCATTGACTTTTGCTGCTGTTTTCTTCCTCCCACTACTGCTGAGGCAAAGCTGGCCTGGCTGCAGTGCTGTATGGTACTGGCTTCATGCAAAGAAAAAAGGATTCAACCCCCTGCCCCCAAAGCAGCTTGAATTGAAATAGTACCTGATTCACTGTATTGTGTTTTGAATATTTCAGACAAAGATGGTTTCTTTGGGGATATATCAACATTTTTCTTTTCCATTGCACTGCTAATACAATTAAGAAAGTCTGCAAAATAAAGTGTTCTCAAAATTATATGAATTCATATTTGACAGAAATTCTATTCTTTTTTCTTCTAGACTACTTAGACATCATATACCCTCCCCACAAGAAATGCAAACATTTATAGTCACAGCACTAACATCATGAATGAACCAATAAGTTTATAAAATAAAGCTGTATAATTTATAGCTTATATGAAAATACCAGATTTTGACAAATTATAAGGACTGGCTCAAACATAGATCTAGGTGACTCTTAAATAGAATCAAAAGACTAAAGACAGAGGATAGGATTTTGTAATTTCTGACTAATTCCCTTAATTGTTTGGCAAGAGAGTCAAGACAAAATATAATCAATGAAAACTGCTGGCAGTGTTTGTTGTGTAATAACTATAGTAGTTGATCTTTGAGGAAAATTAGGCCAGACTTTTAATTTAAATTGGTATGTTGTTTCAAAATGGTCAGTTTATAAGACTCATTATTCCTATTCAGAATTGTAACATGTTTTAAGTATGTAACTTCTATCTATAAGTACTGCCACAACAAATCCAAAAATAATATTACAGGAATAAGCTATATCCTACACTGGACAATACTGTAATATTTCAGAAACTGAATGATAGGTCCATATTTGTATGCAGTCAATACATCTGAAGTAGATTCTCACAAGCAACAAAAAATCAACACAATGATACTAATGTGGAAACCAGTTCCTGCAGCATACCCATTTCCAAGAAAGGCCCCAACAGTATATTTAAAAAGTTTGAAAAGCTTTTCCTCTAATGGAATATATGCTACCATCTACTAGCAATGCCCCTATCCCCTCTGGATTCTGTCAGGTCAAATGGTACAAACTTTTTGTAAAAGAATTAAGAGTAACAAGTTTAACATCAGTTCAACTCTTCCAGATTAAAAAAATGCTATTTTAAAACAAAAAAATTAACCCAAAATTGAGCAAGATTCCTGAACCTGGATATATTATAACCAGGCTCTCACAAAAGGTCTCAACAAACATGTTTTTAATACAAGTGTTAATTGATAAAAGTACTTATCTTTCCTACATGTAACCTGCATCTGAATAACCAACCTACTTTCCATTCCATTCTCTCCCTTCACCTCATTCCAATATAAATTCAATTCCAGTTTATCAACTCTGCTTACATGACCTGTCGCTCAGAAAACCTTTTAATAAAATGTCCCTGACCTCCCTTTGAAACCAGTTGAGCAATTGAGTAAACTGCGAGTTGCCTTAGTTGGCAGCCTAAGCAGAGGGGCCCGGAACTGCCCATTGCAGGTGATAGGTAGAATCAGCTTCTTTAGCGACCCCTCTGAGACCCATTCCGTCCAAGTGGTTGCAGTGGGGAATCAGGGGCGGGGGGAAATAGGGCTATCTGAGGGGACGAAGAAGAGCGGCTGGCTCGGGAAGCAGAAATGCAGCAGGAATCTTGAGATCGTCTGATATTTACTCTGACAACGGTATACGTACGTGATTGAGTTTGCAGTTGGGAACCCGATGTGTAGCCATGCCTTGCCACGAGGCCGCTTCTATTGGCCGATAGAAATGGCTGGTGACTCTGCCCTTGGGGCGCTCCACGAGACCTCTTCTATCAGCTGATAGAAGCAGCCTCATGGCAAGGTGAGTGCGCGTGGAGCACTCTGGGTGGGGATGCGTGTGGGGGGAGGAAATTAAGTCACCCCCCAAAAAATGTTCTAGCCGTTTTTTCGGGGCTCAAAAAAAAAAAAAAAAAAAAAAAAGACCTGGCCTTATTTTATGAGAAACACGGTACTTGTTAATTTATTGAGGAAAATGATCCAAAGCTACATACTTCTATGTGGCAAGAAGATGTCAACTTCTGGGATTATCAATTCATTTCACCAGCATCATCAGATGTTTCAATCAGTGGTATGATAACCAGGTATGAATGTGGGCAATCCTGTCTTTTTTAAAGAATGAAAATGTGGGATCTTTGAAACACAAGCATGGAAGAAGTGTGTCATGGCTTGAACAAAGGAGATTTCTGACAATCTCTGAAAAACAGTTAATTGAAGCACACTAGGTTGGAAAAGGGTTAAAAACAATTTCTAATTAGTTTAGATTCTACCAGTCTGTCCGGTGCCAGGAAGATTGTGTACAAATGGAGACAACGTAACCCTATTGTTATTTTCCCTGGAAATGATCAACAGACCAAAGGCATATCAAGAGCAAAGTGCATAATGCTCTGGAAGAACCTCAGGATATCAAAGAAACCAAAGGCCTATCCTGAATTGGTGGATGTCATGATTCATGAGACCACCATTAGGAAACTACTGAACAACAATGGTATGCACATAGGGCTGCAAGGAGAAAGTCACTAATCTAAAAAAAAAATTTGCTGCCGATCTACAGTTTATGAAATACCACCTGCATAAGCAAAAAAAGCTATTAAAAGAAAGTTCTGTGGATGGATGAAACTAAAAGAGAACTTTAGGCTTAAATAAAAAGATGTTTGGTGAAAGGCAACACTGAATTCCAGCATAAGAACTTCATCACATCTGTGAAACAGGTAGTACCGTTCAAAGTTAAAATGGCACTGAAAAAAGTAACTTATGACCAGTTTTCACATGTCTGTTGTAGCATCCCCATGGTTATGTGATCAGATTTCAAGCACTTGGCAACTGACTCATAATTGTGAGGGTTGCAATGTTCCGGGATCCTGTTTTTTGTTTTAAAGTGTATGGCATGGGTTAGCCAGGGATCACCGAGGTGGCTGGCTGCCTCTGCAAAAAAATTTCTGGCAGCGTTATATTTTACTCACGGGATGCCTGAATGCTGGTAGGAAATCGGGGAGGCTTCTTTCTTATCCCACATGGTTTATTCACTCATAGGAATCAAGCTGCCAACCTCAGCGGTGTGCAGGCCCAGCATCTTACGTGAGCCACCATGGCTCCCTTCCAGAGTCCTGTGAGCCACTTTTACTACATTCAGACAAGCAATGTCAATGGGGAAGCTAGATTCACTCAACAGTTTAACAACCACTGTGACTTAACTGTGGAAAGGTCATAAAATGTGGGCAAATTCACTTAACAAATGTTTCACTTAGCAACAGAAATTTTGGGCTCAATTGTGGTTGTAAGTTGAAGTCTATCTGTAATATGGTTTAGGTCTCTGATCACGACAGCTTGCTATATTAGATGGAACTATGAATTCTGAATTGTACTAGCAAATTTTACATGAAAATATCAGGGTATATATCTATGAATTGAAGCTCAAAAAATGTTTTTGGAATGGCCAAGTCAAAATCCTGACATTAGGTGTAGAAAAATGTTAAAGGATCCTAGCAAGCAGTTCGTGAGAGGAAGCCCACCAACATCCCCAAGTTAAACCTGTTCTCTGAGGAGGAATGGGCTGAAATTTTTCTAACTTGTTTTCAGACTTGATCAACAGTTACTGGAAATTTTTAATTGGTTATTGCTGCCCAAAGAGGGACCTTAAGTTATTAAAAGCAAAGGTTTACATTTTTACACATACAAATATGTAGGTCTGGAATTTTCTCATGCTTTAGGTTTATATTTATGCAGAAACATTGAAAATTCAAAAGGATTCATAAACTTAGGACCTGCTATAAACCGCAGATTAAGACAAAACTCTAAAAACAACAAAATAACTTGGCTGTGACTTGTAACTGGAAATTTGTTAGATGTTTATCTCAGCATTATTACTTTATAGTTATCTCAAGGCAGTAGACACCCAATACTGCCTCTTCCTGTTTTTCCCACAGCAACAAGCCTGTGAGGTGTGTTGGACTGAGTGTGTGACTGGCCCAAAGTCCCCCAGGTGGCTTATGTGCCTAAGGCAGGACTAGAACTCAATCTCCTGGTTTCTAGGCTAGTACCTTAGCCACTATGTCAAACCTGATATTGGAAGTGGTGTAGCTAAAAGAAAACCAGGAAAAAGGACATTAAAATTATCAAGTTTAATGTCTAATTACATTGTTATGGAAGGATCTGCACTAGCTACATAGCCACTGAAAACTATCATGAAGAATGAAGCTAAAAGAAAGCAAGTCTATCCCTCTCCCACCTCCACATCTGCTAACTAGGTTCTAAGAACATAAGCCTGTACAAAACAGAGGGCTGAATCCAATTGGACAAATTTGCAAGCCTACTCAACAGCCTTTGCCTGCTGCTTTAATGTGCAAAGCAGGAAATTAGACTTGAATATCTATTTAGCCCATCAATCCTCTCACTGTTAAACTGCCATCCTAATATACTTACCTGGAAGTAAATCCTTCTATTTACATAAATATCTACAAGTAAAAAATATTCAATGGAGCTTGCCATGACTATGTAAGTTTTGCAGGACCAACTGGGCCCCAGTTTGATGAAATATCCCAATCAGCTGTGCTAGCACAACACACTGAGCACTAATTTTACTGTATGACCAGCTGGCATAGCATATAGCCACAGATATATTTTTGTTTAAGTCTGCATTTGTCCTAATATTTTCTATCTCTACACGCTTAGTTGGGAATATTTAATTCAAATGTTAATTTAATGTACTCTGAGTAACAGGCAGAAGTATTAGGTATGTCCACCACCTTAACTATCCAATATAGGGAAAATGGAAAATATAATTACAATCATTTTAGATCTAGTTTGATCTAGTGGTTAAGGCATCAAGCTAGAAACCAGAAGTGTACAGGTTTTAGCCCTGCCTTGAGCATGAAGCCAGCTGGGTTCAGTCCTAGACAGCAAGCAACAGCCTATCACTTTTGAATACTCTTGCCAAGAAAACTGCAGGGACTTGTCCAGACAGTCGGCAGGAGTAACAAAACTGAGGGCGGGGGGGGGGGGCACAGAAATCTTTATGCTCATCATCCTACTTCAGACCTCACAACGACCAAATAAATTATCCTACGGGATGCACCGTCAGCGTCCCTTTCCCTCAGACCGCACCATCCCAGATACAGAGAAGGAGCCAAGGCTTTCCTCTCCCATCTCATGCCCTGGAAGAAAACCCGACCTTTCTTCCACTCACACACGTTTCACCTCAGTGCCTCTCCTCATGGGACAGCGAGTTTCTTCTGAGCTAAGAAGAACCTCAGAAGAGCAGCCCTGTGGAAATGTAGTTGGGAGCAAAAAAAAAAAAAAAAAATCAACGGACGAAGGAAGATTTCTCGAGGCCCCCCCCAAAAGAAGCCCCCGGTACCGCCTGGCTCCAAGTCCTCTCAGCAACAACTTCCTCTCTGAAAGACAAAAGAAGGCGCCAAAACCCGCCAACGCATGCGTAGTTCCAGAGGGGTGGAGTCAATCATTTCCTCACGGCTGATCCACACTCACAATCCGGAGGTTTTTCGTACATACCGATCACCCTACGGACGGAAATGAAATTGGTCTCCGGCTGGGAACAGTGGAGCCCAGCTCTTGCTTCCGTTTTTCACTAGCAATGGCGTGAAGGCCCGAAACTAAGAGAAGAGCCAGCAGTTCAAGGGTCTTCAAACTTGCCAAGTTTAAGATTTGTGGACTTCAACTCCCAGAATTCCCGAGCTAACATGACTGCAGGAGGAATTCTGGGAGTTGAAGTCCATAAGGCTTAAAGCTGTCAAGTTTGAAGACCCCTGCTGTAATGGTTTAATCCTGCCGCACTCAAGGGATCATGGAACTTGTGGTTTGTTTTTTACAAAAAAAGAATTGGTCCGTTCTAGCACGCTAGTTTATATGCAGTACTTAAAAGTATGCCTCAAACCACGGAATTTTGATAGTTCAGAGACAGGCACATAGTTTCATTTTTCTCTCAGGAGCTGTTAAGAGCCTTTCCCCCCTCCCATTCCCCCCCCCCCAAAGCTGCAAATTATCTCATTGAAATAGTTGTACATTAGTTACTGTACAAGTACAATGAGAAATGCAAATCTCTTGTGAAAAAAATTACATTTTACAGAATTAACTGATTTGCTATTTATATTCTGCCTTTCTTCTAGGAGTTAAAGGAGGTGAGAGGGCACTCCTTTTCCCTGTTTCTCCCCACGGTTGGTTGTCCCAAGGGTGCTTTTTTGAAAATCAATTGAACTTTCTTGATATTTGTTTCTTAAAAGTGTTTTGCTTGAGTTCTGAAGAAGTTAAATGTTTCCGGGGGGGGGGGGACCCAAGAAAGTCCAGTTGCCTTTTGGAAAAGCATCTTTGGGACAACCATTACCTGGATGATTGAAAATCTCTAGACACTCTGAAGTTGGTTGTACTGTGCATGTCTAGTTCAAAGTCACTGGTATGCTTTTGGGCTTGAATCTGGAGGAGTTTGCATATAAAGACACACACATTTTTATGTTCATGCGATTTTATTTTACATATTGTGTAAAGTCTGAAGTCATTTACACATATTAAAACTTAACATTCTGCACCATAAACCTAGTTAACAAATTGCCATGTTTAAGCTAAAACCAAACATCACATTAAGAGTTAGTGTATTGCATGAGCCATTAAGTGTTTTATTCTGGGTTAGTACACTATATTAACATAGTTAATTGTGATTTCTTCAGTAAAATAAGGAATTGGGACCTATATCTTCAACATGATGGCCTCCACAATATGCCTCATCGTATGTTTTTAAAGCTTATTTTAATTTAAACAGTTAAATATAAAGTTAACATATTACTAAGCAGTATGTCAATTATAAAATTCCATAAAGCCTTTTAGAACATGCATATATCCCACAAAAAGTGTTAAAAATACACATGAAAGAAAACAACCCAATTCTACTTGAATTACGCTCACTTGTTTCAAAGACTAACAGAACCATCAGAGAGGTTAGAGCTGAACAATCTAGCCAGGTTGCTTTCTGACAAATGTGGGGTTAGTTGTATTCAGACAAACAGAGGCCCTTTAGTTTTACTGAGTCAAATTGCCTGGATTTACAGAGCATTTTAAATAATCTAACTCTGCTGTTTGGATTTCCACAGCACCCGAAATCACATTTTGACCAAGAGACCCAGTGCTGTTTGGATAACTAGGTTTGTAAAGAACGGGGTGTTATATTGCAGTTGAGCCAATATTAGAGGTTTATTGGATTGCAATGTCCAAGATTCAGTTGATATCTATGTACTACCTTGGAGTAAATGTTTCCACTCCCTGATATTTCGGTAGGACTTAATTTTGGGTAAAGTATCCCTTTATCTTCAAAGGATCTGCTGAATCTTGTTGTAGTTTCACCGTTTCGGTTACAACCCAACTCAATCCAAAACCTGTCCGATCCATCATCAATGGTTCTTGGTTGCAAACATTTAGTGGAAGCGCTTTGGAGAGGGAACGCACATTATGAGTTCAAACCTGTTAACTCCGGTGCGTAAATTTCCAGCGTACTTTACGAGTGCAACTGTTCCTGAATTAAGAGGGTTTATTGGTTTTCGCCACTAGTTAATGAGCACTAATTGCTCCTGGGGGACGATAAAAGCGAGGGAGGGAGGAAGCCTCCCCCTTAAACCAGGCTCCCTGTCCCGGCATGGAGCGCTTCGTTTATCCGTCTTACAGCGTTTATCAAAGTTATGGAAGCGGCTTTACCCCCAGCCACAACGTGGCCTCGAGGCTACCGCCCAATCAGAAGCAGCCGAGCTGGAAGCAAAGCAAGTGCAGCGGCATCTCTAACCCCTACCGCGGGCTGCTCACGGCCCCTTCCGCGACTCCTGCGGTGTCTTCGCCGGATTATTTGGATACTTACAAACGAGCGCAGCTAAAGGCGCTGCTCTCGCACGTTAGCCCGGGCCTCACCCCGCGGCTCCGTAAAGCCAACACCAAAGAAGTGGGTGTTCAGGTGAACCCGCAGGCAGACGCCGCGGTGCAATGCTCGCTCGGATCTCGGCCGCTCCAGGCCGTCCGGCCTCAAAGCCCCCCGGGCCGGCTGAGCCGGGAGCAGCCGCCGCTCCCAGGCTTCTACTCGCCCGTGCTTGGTCGCCGCCTCTTCATCTTTCCCGAAGTGGCGGGGAAACCGAAGGCGCCGCCTGAAGGTCCGGCTTCGCTTCCGTCCAGCCAGACGTCCGAGGAAAAGGGAACGTCCGTAGAGAAGGGGGACGGCGGTGCCGAAGAGGAGGCGGGAGCTGAGGACGGGCTGCCGGGGCACGCCGTCGGATACTCTGCCCAGCAGCAGGTCGGGAAAGGAGACGAGGCTGAGGGAGGCGGGAGTCGCTTCTCCGAAGAGGATAAAAGAACTATCTTCCAGGTGAGCGGCGCGGTTTTCCGCAGACGCTGCGCTTGCTTGGAAATCCCTCCGGCTTCTAGCAGCCGCGCTTTGATGAAAGGCAGAAGGGGGATTTTTCAAAACGCCTTCTTAGAGAAGAACTTGGCCTTAGCTAGACCCTTGGCTTGCTTGGCTTAGCCATAGCCCAACCTCAGCGTCTTTAGAATGTGTTGGCTTCAACTCCCAAGAATAACCCCAGCCAGTTGGGAATTGAATTCTGTGAGTTAAAGTAACTGAGGTTGAGAAACGCTGTAGTAGCCTCTTCTGCAGGGCCTGACATTTAAACAAACCTATCAACGTGTATGGCGAACATTCGAATATAGCCAGGATGTAATGTTTGTTTGTCACATTTTTGCCTCCCTACCCCCACCCCAAACACAGGCGTGGACTTTAGCAGTATATTCGCAAGAGATGTTGGGATTAAGAATTGTATAGAATCAGGTTAAATATAGACCCCTTCTTATACTCCTGTACTTCTCACTTTTTTGACTTTAGTGTTTAGGGTTATGCTAGCAACTTTTCTCTCTGGGGTAGCACTTATAATTGTTATATGGAGTAAAGTAATTTCACCCCTGAATGAGAAATTGGTATAGTTCTTGAAGGTGTCAAAATAGAATGGATAAATTTGGCTGTGGGAGTAGATCAAAACTGTATTTGGCCAGAAATAATTTTCTTAATATTTGGAGAACACTCCCCCCCCATGCTTGCAGAAGAAGGTAGATAGTGAATGGGATTTTTTTCCTCAGATTTCTGCATTTAAAAAGTGTGCTTTAAATGTTGTGATTTAAGAATAATCTTGCAAATAAAATTTTAATATTTACTGTTCATGCACAACTTTCCGTTGCAGTTCTTAGAACAGAAATATGGCTATTTCCATTGCAATGACTGTAAGACCAGATGGGAAAGTGCTTATGTATGGTGCATTTCTGGAACCAATAAGGTATGTTTAGAAGAACATTAGAAAAAATGCTTCTATTGTTTAAGGTGTAAATTTCAGAAAAGGATTCAATGTCTGGACTGCATGTTAGAAAATGTAACTGTCTCAAACTTGAAGAATCCTTTTAGGCTCAGTTTTGATAGAATAAGAGGAGCAAACTAGAAGTGATGTTTTTGTACAGTGTTTACCTGTTAACTATAGTGGTGACCAACTGCAAATAGTTTGATACACAAACCTTTTTTTTTGCTTTGGGTTAAATTGTGCCATGTTAATAGGAAATCATAAAATGAGCTGAATAAGAATTTTTAATGCCTGTTTGGCACAATGAGTATTCAGTTGTGCTTAAATATATAATTTTTTCATGCTACATTTTAAAGATAGTCTGATCTAAGGTTTTCCCCTCTCAAATGTACCACTTTCATTTTTAGGTATACTTTAAGCAGCTTTGTCGCAAGTGCCAAAAGAGCTTTAATCCCTATAAAGTAGAAGCAATTCAGTGCCATGTAAGTAAGACTTGATATTCAGCAACTGCTATTAACACATTAAAGAAGTATCTAAAGAAAAACGGTTTTTTACCTGGCTTAAAATTGCAGTGTATTAAGGAACTATTTGAATCAGAATATTGTAATATGCAATACTATTCTCCAAGACAAATTGATTTCCATAAGTTATCTTCCTCTACCTCAACAAATAACGGCAATAAAGGTGAAACTTTGAAACTTCTCATAGAAAGGCTATCATTTTGCAGATTTTGGATACAATAGGCAGAATGTCAGGTCAGACCACCCATGGAAATTGGAAGTTTGGTGCATCTGAACTATAAAGCACTTACATTTAGGTAAATTATATCATTTGTAATAACTTTTGTCAAATTATACTTTTGGATTTAATAGATATTTGTGAAGAGTTAATGAATTTTCTTCCTCTGATGGTGACTGTTAAATCTTAATGTTCACCAATAAGTATGGATAATTCAGATGCTTCATTTCCTTGTTCAGTGGTGTCTAACTCATGGCGTCACATCACATGATGTAGCACAACTTCTCCCCCTTTGCTAAAATGGGAGTGGGTGTGGCCAGTGCATGATGCATCTGGCCTGCGGGCCGTAAGTTTGACACCCGATTCTTAATAACCAAAACTAACCCAAAGAATTGAATAGAGAACTTCAGAGGATGGTTGTTACAGCACTATTAAAAATATAGAATATGGCATTTTAAAAACTTTCCTTATTTCTAGTTCAACATGGGTATACTGTGCTTATTGTTATGAAAGCATACCTTTGTTTAATATTACTTGGCATCTATGGCACATTTGTGCAATAGGATTAACTTGTATCTTGGTTAATAGAATATTTTTCATCTTTTATCATTCCAAAGTTTCTAGAAGATCACTAAGTATAATCACAAAAATAATCTTTGGAATAGGTTTTGATTTCTTCTACTAATTAAAGTTTGTTATCCCAAGATCTGTTCAAAGACTCGTTGCTCCTGTCCCCAGAAAAAAAGGCACATTGACCTCAAGAGACCCCACCGGCAAGAGCTATGTGGCCGCTGTAAAGGCAAAAGATTATCTTGCGACAACACCTACAGCTTCAAATACATTGTTTGATCTGTGCAGTTTGTGTGCTGAGGTTGCATTTAGCTATGCACTTTGTTTCATAATGTAGATTTGACTTTAGGATTCTGACCTGGCAATGGATAATGGACTAAAGATGTTTGCAATGCTAAGATATATTTGTAATTTATCACTGTACTGCCTAATTAATAAAACTTAAATTCCAATTAAATTGTATTTCCCTTGATGAGCATTAAAAAGAGATGGGAGAGCTGATACACTTAACTAGAAAAAGGTGGAAAACTTAGAGGGATTTTACATGCCAGATTAAATCTTGCAAATACTACACTGCTCAAAAAAATAAAGGGAACACAAAAATAAGACATCCTAGATCTGAATGAATGAAATAGTCTTATTAAATACTTTGTTCATTACATAGTTGAATGTGCTGACAACAGAATCACACAAAAATTATCAATGGAAATCAAATTTAGCAACCCATGGAGGTCTGGATTTGGAGTTACATTCAAAATTAAAGTGGAAAAAAACACTACAGGTTGATCCAACTTTGATGCAATGTCCTTAAAACAAGTCAAAATGTGGCTCAGTAGTGTGTGTGGCCTTCACGTGCTTGTATGACCTCCCTACAATGCCTGGGCATGCTCCTGATGAGGTGGCGGATGGTCTCCTGCAGGATCTCCTCCCACACCTGGACTAAAGCATCCCCCAACTCCTGGACAGTCTGTGGTGCAACGTGGCATTGGTGGATGGAGCGTGACATGGTGTCCCAGATGTGCTCAATTGGATTCAGGTCCGGGGAATGGGCGGGCCAGTCCATAGCATCAATGCCTTCGTCTTGCAGGAACTGCTGACACACTCCAGCCACATGAGGTCTAGCATTGTCTTGCATTAGGAGGAACCCAGGGCCAACTGCACCAGCATATGGTCTCACAAGGGGTCTGAGGATCTCATCTTGGTACCTAATGGCAGTCAGGCTACCTCTGGCGAGCACATGGAGGAGGGCTGTGCGGCCCCCTAAAGAAATGCCACCCCACACCCCTTACTGACCCACTGCCAAGCCGGTCATGCTGGAGGATGTTGCAGGCAGCAGAATGTTCACGGCGTCTCCAGACCCTGTCACGTCTGTCACATGTGCTCAGTGTGAACCTGCTTTTATCTGTGAAGAGCACACGGCACCAGTGGCGAATTTGCCAATCTTGTTCTCTGGCAAATGCCAAACGTCCTGCATGGTGTTGGGCTGTAAGCACAACCCCCACCTGTAGACGTCGGGCCCCCATACCACCCTCATGGAGTCTATTTCTGACCATTTGAGCAGCCACATGCACATTTGTGGCCTGCTGGAGGTCATTTTGCAGGGCTCTGGCAGTGCTCCTCCTGTCCCTCCTTGCACAAAGGCAGAGGTAGCGGTCCTGGTGCTGGGTTGTTGTCCTACAGCCTCCTCCACGTCTCCTGATGTACTGGCCTGTCTCCTGGTAGCGCCACCATGCTGTGGACACTACGCTGACAGACAGCAAACCTTGCCACAGCTCGCATTGATGTGCCATCCTGGATGAGCTGCACTACCTGAGTCACTTTTGTGGGTTGTAGACTCCATCTCATGCTACCACTAGAGTGAAAGCACCGCCAGCATTCAAAAAAACCCATCAGCCAGAAAGCATAGGAACTGAGAAGTGGTCTGTGGTCACCACCTGCAGAACCAGAACCTTTATTGGGGATGTCTTGCTAACTGCCTATGCTTTCCATCTGTTGTCTATTCCATTTGCACAACAGCATGTGAAATTGATTGTCAATCAGTGTTGCTACCTAAGTGGACAGTTTGATTTCACAGAAGTGTGATTGACTTGGACTTACATTGTGTTGTTTAAGTGTTCCCTTTATTTTTTTGAGCAGTGTATATTCCTGCAATCTTTTTGTAGAAATAGTGATACAATGTGAGGATTCTGAATATAATTGAACATATTGAAGTTTGATAAAGATTGAGCAATATACTTTCATGTCTACTATGGCATTCTATAAAGACACATGTAAGTAAGTCT